ATATCTTTCTCCATCCCCTTACTATTTTTTATCATCCTTATTACTAATCTAAATGTGTTTTTATATTCAAAGAGTGTTTCATATTTTAAAAAAGAACATGTGGCTGGGACTGGGTGTGGTGGCTCGCACCTGCAATCCTAGCTGCTCAGGAGGCACAGATCAGGATGATTATAGTTCCAGACCAGCCCAAACAAAAAATTAGTGAGACCTCATCTCAATCAATAAGCTGGGCATGGTGGCACACACCTATGCTACCACTCATGCAGGAGGCATAGGTAAGAGTACCATGATCTGAAGCTGGCCCAGGCAAAAACATGAAACCCTAACTGAAACATAACTCAAGCCAAAAGGACTGGAGGTGTGGCTCAAGTGGTGAGCTTCTGCCTAGCAAGTGCAAGGCCCTAAATTCAAACTCTAGTAATAGCCAGGCACTGGTGGCTCACATCTGTAAACCTAGCTACTCAGGAGACAGAGATCAGGAGGACTGCAGTTCGAAACTACCCCAGGGAAATAGTTCACAAGACCCTATCTCAAAAAATGTCATCAAGGTGTAGGCCCTGGGTTCAAATCCCAGTACCACACACAAACACACACACAAAACTACAACAAACTCCAGTAGTATAAAAATATAAACAAACCCCAAACATGTAGTTGAGTCTTATTTTCTATTCACTCTGAAAACCCTCTGATTTTAATTGAAGAATTTAGACTGCAGGCCTTTAAAGAGATTAGTTCAGTTTGAGTAATGTCAACTATATTTGTTGTTGTTTTATATTTTTACCCTTATTCTTTTTTTCCTATTTTTGTCTTCACACCTTTTCTGCATTTATGGCTTAAACTGATTATCTTATATCATTCCATTTTTCTCTCCTTTCTTAGTACATCAATTCTATTTCCTTTTTTCTCTTTGCAGTGGTTGCCTAGAGTTTGCAATATAAATTTACAACTTATCCAAATCCATTTTAAACCAACACTATACCATTTTTATATGTAGTAAATCTTATAATAACACAATATTCCTAATTCCTCTCTCCTGTTCCTTGTAAAATGGCTTGGTTTTCATTTATTTCACTTTGCATAAGTATAAATATATGTGTATATATAGACATATACAATTTATTTCATTGTTATGATAGATCAATTAAGAACAATAAAATTGTTTTATTTTTGCTTATTCATTCTTGATGTTCTTTCTTTGCATAGATCTGAGTTTGACCCCTATCATTTTCCTTCTCCCTAAAGAAATTCTTTCAGCATTTCTCACAAGGAAGGTCACTGGTATTGTTCAATTTTGTTTATCTAAGAAAGTCTTTCTTTCTCTTACACTTTTGAAGAAGAACTTCTCAGGGTACAGAATTCTACATTGGTAGGGGTTTTGTTATTATCTTCATCTCTCTTAATGCTCTAAATATTTCATTTCACTCTCTTCTTGCTTCATGGCTTCTGAGAAATCTGTAATTGTTATTTGTGTTCCTCTGTAGGAAGATGGCCTTTTCCTTTGGCTGTTTTTAATTTCGTATGCGTGTGTGTGGTGGCACTGGGGTTTGAACTCAGGGTCTCGTGCTTGCTAGGCAGGAGCTCTACCACTTGAACCATTCACCTAGCTATTTTTAATATTTTATCTTTGATTTTTCTGAGGTTTGAATGTCATATGATTGGGTGTTTGGGGCATTTATCCTTCTTGGTGTTCTCTTAGCTTCCTAGATCTGTGCTTTAAATAAATTTGGGGAATTCTCCTTCAGTATTGCTTCAAATATTTCAGTTGCTTTGTTTCCTTTCTTTCCGGTATATTTATATGTATATTACACATTTTGTAATTGTCCTAAAATTCCTGGATTTTCTGTTACAGGTTTTTCTTTCAATCTTCTTTCTTTTTGTTTTTTAGTTTTGGAAGTTTCTATTGTCATATCTTCAAACTCAGAGAATTTTTCTTTAATTGTGTCTATTCTACTCTGAGTCCATTAAGGGTATTTTTTATTTGGGTTTCAATATTTTCAATCTCTGACATTTCTTTCTGATTATTTCTTAGAATGCCTACTTCTCTGCTATCACAATCCGTCATTTCTTCCATATTGTCTACTTTTTCCATTGAAGACCTTAACATATTAAGTCACAGTTTTTTTACATTTCCGACATTCCTAACATATGACTATGGTCCTGATACTTGTTCAATCTCTTCAAACTGTTTTAGTATGCTTTGTGATTTGTTGTTGAAAGGAGGACATGCTCTACTGGGTCAAAGGATTTGTGGTAAATGCGGCTTCACTAAGCAGTGATGAGGTATGGGCGAAAGGATGCATCCTGATAAGGTGCTCGGGACTTTTGGTGAGTCTACGCCCCTGCACTGTCAACTATGAACTTTACCAGGACTTCTTGATTATTTTTGTCCCTCCTTCCCTTAAGTGGGATAGAGTGGCTTACGAGGGTTAGAGTTAGGCATTTCCCATCCCCCAGGTAGACTAGGCTCAGATAAGACTCCAGCAAATTTGACTCTGGGAAAATACCTTCTTCTGAGGACAGAGAGGTCTGGCTTACTTCAAAATGGCCCTTTTCCCTCTCCCCTGACAGAAGCATGGGGGATTTTACCTGAAGACCTGAATATAAAGCTGACAAAACTGTCAGTGGAGGATGACTGGATCTCTCTGATGTTTTTAACTCTCAGACTTGTCCGCACTAAGCCTCTAGAAATTTATATATACAGTTTAGGTTTTCCTATCCTGGCAATGGTTCCCATGGGTATTTGTACTTATGGGCTTCTAGTCTGGTAAGTTGTGATTCTCTGGATTCTTCTATCTGTCTCTCCAATGTTTGGTGCAGCAGTTGCCCTGTGACTTCACTTTTTTTAACAAATCTAAGCAGAGTTGATCATTTTTCAATTTGTTCACCTTTTTACTTGTTAGGACAGAGTGGCGACTTCTAAGATTTGTATGTGCTGGACTAGAAAGTGGAAATCTTATAATTGACTTTTTATAGTTCTTTATCACAATAGACCTGCAAGCACCATTCAAAGTTGTTGACCACCTCCCTTTGGATGGCTAAAATGCTCTTTCTTGATTTCTGTGCTACCATATTCTATTTGTTTTCCTCTTTCTGCCCATTTTTTCTACATTACTGGTGTTTTCAAGGATTACTGTACAGTTCTCAGGTGCTCTCCTGACCTCTAGATTTATAGCCAATGCCCCCTCAACATTTCCATTTTCATGTATCTTCAGACCTCCTGTCTTTCCAACATTAAGTAGCATCTTCACCATAACAACTGCTCAAGACAGAAACTTAGAAGTCTTTTTACAGTATGCAACAACTAATCAAATATATTATTGGCATGTATCAATTGTAAATAGTAAGGGGTTTCATCATGACATTTCTGTACATGCACATAAAGTACTTTCATATTTATCCCCTCTGTTACCCTTTCTTTTCCCTACTCCTCCCTCTCCCTTTTTCCTTTCTTTACTACTTCCCTAGTTGTCCCCTTTTTATTTTCCTAACCTTGGTTTTTTTGGTTTGATTTTCCCCTAGCATACACAAGTGAGAGAAAAAAATGTGATACTTGTATTTGTGGAACTGGCATATTTCACTGAAAAAGATGATCTCCAGTTTAATCCATTTTTCAGTAAATGACATAATTTCATTACTCATAATGGCTGTGTAGAACTCCACTGTATATATGTGTATGTGTATAGATATATAGACATAGATCACATTTTATTTATCCTTTCATACATTGATTGACACCTAGGCTGATTCTGTAATTTGACTATAATTTTGCCACAATAAACATGGGTATACAGGTTTCTCTATAGCAAGCTGACTTTGCTTCTTCAGGGTATACACTCAGAAGTTGTATGGCTAGGTCATATGGGAGTGCTAGTTTAAGTTTTTTGAGGAACCTCCATACTGATTTCCATAGTGGCTACACTAATCTACATTCCTACCATCAGCATTTGTTGTTATTTATTTTCTTGATAATAACCATTTTGACTGGGACAAGGTAGAATCTCAACGTAGTTTTGTTTGGTATTTCCCTATAGCTAAAGGTGTTAAACACTTTTTCATGTATTTATTGACTATTTGTACCTCTTCATTTGAAAAGTATCTTTCAGTTCATTTGCCAATTTATTGACTGAATTGTTATTTTGATGATTAACTTTCTGAGTTCTTTTTATATTCTGGATATTAATCCTGTTAGATGAATATTTGGCAAATATTTTTTCTTCCAGTCTCTTGATTGTGAAACCTGGCAGTCTTTCTTAACATTTCTCACTCCTTCATCCTGTATGTCAATCCATCAAATATACAGGCAAAATTATCTTTAATCTATGTATAGCTCTCCATCTCTCTTATAAAATACCCTTATCAAAGCCACCACAATCCCTACCAAAAAAATCTTTCTAACTTCTTACTAATGGGTCTCCTTGTTAACACTTTGCCCTTTTGCAACTGGCCTCCAAATCTATAAAACATTCAGCATGGTGCAATGGGAAGAGAGTAAGTTTTAGATCAATAAAGACCTGCAGCAGCTCCTACAAAAAAATGGTGAAAATCTAAGCCTCAGTTTTCTCAGGTATAAAATAGGTACCAACAAACTAACAAGTAAACAATAACAACGACAACAACAAAACTCCAACTATATACTTGACTGGAATGGCAAAGCAAAAAGATATAATTAATAACTTACAAGTAATCATAAAATGGTACTCTGGCTACATAGTAAATTTATCATTTTTACCTTACATTAGTAACTAATGAATGTCCAGTTATTCAAAAGGAACTTGGAAAAATATAAAATAGATTTTACTTCTTTCTTTAAACTTAGAGTACACATTCAGCTATCTGCTGCATTTTTTTCACAAAAGAATAATCTAATTTTTTAAACTCCAAAATGCTTTTAATTATTCCATTAAATAGCTGAAAAATAGTTGCTATAAAAGTGTTACTTAAAAGTGCATCCTTTATTAATGAAATTATGATTTATAGAAATATTCTGATTCAATACTTGCTTTTTTCTTTGTTTTTTTGAGGGTTGAAGGGCAAGTTTCCTCAGGCAGTAAAACTTCACAAGTTTCATTATCTATAAATAAAAACATAGCTCAATACTCTATTTAACCTGTCATTAACTGAAAACAATTATTCAAATTCAAAACAAAACAAACACCCTGATTTTAATGACTGTGCCTTTGTAATAGTTTAGGAAGACAAACTTCATCTATGTTGATTTTACTTGCTGTGGCTAGGGAAAATATATCCTTAAAAATATCTTTAGCTGCAGAGCTCCAGGTTTCACAGAAGAGATTTTCTTTTCAATTAGTAGAGAAATGTATATGTAATTAACATTCTTCATTCATTACCCTACCATTTCCACTCTCCTGTGTCTTGGGGCTTTCCCTTCTACCGCAACTTTTCTATCAATATTTATTTATTTATTATTTATTCATTTATTTAATTTTTGAGACAAAATCTTGCCTTGTTGCCCATATTAGTGTTGAATTTCTAGACTTGAGCCACTTTCTTGCCTCAATCATCGAGTAGCAGAGACTACAGGTGCCTGCCACTATACCTGGCTCTATAAGCATTTAAAACAAATTCAGGCTTTGCTTAGCTTATCAAAAACTTTCCCTACCCAGTATCACCTTCCTGCTACAGCTCCTCTTGTCCATAAGTCATATTTCTTCAAAGAGCTGTTTAACACCAACTTTACTTCTCCTACTCTTTACTTTCAGATCCAGAACAATCCAGTTTTAGCTACTGCTGATATCAGCAGACCTCTTTCCTGTCCTATCTTTCTGGACCTCAATAAAACAAGTGTTGAACATCTTTCCTGTCTGCCTCCCTTTATGGTTCCTCCTCAGTCTTCCATTTTCTTCATTCTCCAGATTCAGTCCAAAGCAACACTATTTATTATCTGCTATGTGCCAATTTTATTATATGTACTTAATACTGCATATTCAACTTTTCTTTATATACAGCACTATCTTGATTTAAGGAACCAATAACTTCCTAATTCACTTCCCTCTGTAGTCCACTTCTTTTTTTAAATTTTTATTGTTTTATTATTCATATGTGCATACAATGCTTGGGTCATTTGTAGTTCACTTTTTTGTAAACCTAAAATATAAACCTAGTATCATTTGCTTAAAACTCATCAATGGCTTTCCACTACCCTCATGTTAAAACTCAAACTTCTAAAAAACAAAACACACACTCCTTAATCTGGCATGCAAAGTCTGTCATTCTATGATTCATGCAGCGCTTACATATTCTTCAGACTCATTTTAGAGACTGAAATAGAGTTGCCAGAGAAAATACAGGATGCCCAGATAAATGTGAATTTCAGAAAAACATAAAAAATTTTAGTGTAAGTATATCCCATATAATAGTACAAATGTATACAGTATTTGGGGCATACTTATTTATATTGAAGTATTATTTGCTATTTATCTGAATTCAAATTTCACTGGAGAGTCTACATCTTTATTTGCTAAATCTGGTAACTCTAGAGGCTAATCACTCCTGCCATCTTCATTTTTCAGGGTGTCAAGAAGTAGGTGAGTTTGAGAGTTCTGTAGGAGATAAAACTGGCACTAAGATTTTATAATAGATTGCATAGAAAAGGGAAGAGGACGACCCTCTCTCCCCTTGCAGGTTTCTGGTTTGCTATACTACATTTGCACAATCACGACGATTGGGACTATGTTAGGTCTGGGTTGTGACAATTCTCAGTCTTCAACCCTCATTTTATTTAATCTCCTGATTACTTTTGTCATTGTTGGAGTCGCTCCCTCAGGACATTCATCTCTGGCTTCTCTCCTGGTTTTCCTACAACTGCATTAAGTCTTAGTTGCCTTTGCTGGATACTTCTCTTTCCCTACTTCTAAATGTTGGAAGAAAGAGATGCATATGCATAAAGTTCTTTTTAGATGTCTCTCTTCTATTTGTTTTCACTTCCTACAAGATTTAATCTAATTCTATGGCTTCAAAAACATCTACATGCTGACTCCAAACATATAGCTACAGCACCAGTCTCTGCTCTGATTTTCAGACTCCTATGTCACAAACTGCCTTCATAACATCTCCACTTGAAGGCTAATAAGAGTCTCCATTTTAAAGTATTTTATCAAAAGGCATCCTACATACAGTAAGTCACAGGTCTTAAGTGTATATGTATTCAGCAATGTGCCAACCATCCAGATCAAGATATAAAAAACATTTCCAGAACCCTGGAAGTTAACCCTGTAGTTAGTCTTTCCCAGTTGGCAGTTCCTTTCCAAAGATTACCTCTATTCTGGGTTCTATCATCCAGAATAGTGAAATAACACAGCATGTATGTGTCACATTCATGTAAGTTGATAGATAAAATTTAAAATGTCCAAAACAAATCTTTTTTTTTTAATTTTTCTTTTATTATTCATATGTGCATACAAGGCTTGGTTCATTTCTCCCCCCTGCCCCCACCCCCTCCCTTACCACCCACTCCGCCCCCTCCCCCTCCCCCCCCTCAATACCCAGCAGAAACTATTTTGCCCTTATATCTAATTTTGTTGTAGAGAGAGTATAAGCAATAATAGGAAGGAACAAGGGTTTTTGCTGGTTGAGATAAGGATAGCTATACAGGGCATTGACTCACATTGATTTCCTGTGCGTGGGTGTTACCTTCTAGGTTAATTCTTTTTGATCTAACCTTTTCTCTAGTACCTGTTCCCCTTTTCCTATTGGCCTCAGTTGCTTTAAAGTATCTGCTTTAGTTTCTCTGCATTAACGGCAACAAATGCTAGCTAGTTTTTTAGGTGTCTTACCTATCCTCACCCCGCCCTTGTGTGCTCTCGCTTTTATCATGTGCTCATAGTCCAATCCCCTTGTTGCAAAACAAATTTTCTTAATCATTTTCCTAACTTGCTCTGACCTACAATGCTTCCCTTCCATTTCAATAAATGATACCACCATTCACTTATGTGCTCAAGTCAAGAATTCAGTATTTATCCTATATTTCTATTTTCTCTCTTCCCTAACATTCAGCTAAATCAGATAATTTTGGCAATCTGACTTTAAAATAAATTTTAAGTCATACCACTGCCACTACCTTAGTATAAGACACTATTATCTGACCAAGCACTAGGTTAACAAGGTCTCCTTGCTCCCTTACTCTATTCTCCATATGGTAGCTGAAGTGATAATTCTATATACCTAAGTCTTTAGAAGATAGACTAATAGCACCAGTTAGAACCTTAAGACCAGAGCAACATTACACATAGATGCACAGAACCCAAGGGCTCTTAGAAACTTAAAGAGTTCCTTCAGTCTGGAGTTTTATCCCCTGGAGTGAATTATAGTGGTTTAAGCAGACAGACACGTGAATCACAGATTCACAGATTATTTTCCATCTTACTTATAAATATCTATGTATTAGTATACACATATTATATACATTATATAATATATATATAATATTTATCTTAGAATAGTATTGTCCAAGGTGGCAGCCACCATTTCATAAGGCTATTTAAATTTAATTAAAATGAAATAAAAATTTCAAATAAAAAAATTAAAAATGTGTACCTGATCATGTCTCTGCTCTAATATGCTCTAAGCACATTTACAATAAAATCCCTAGTTCTTACCATGACACATAACTTTTTACTGCTCTCGGACCACAATTTCAACCATTTGTATTCTTACTCACTCTGCTCCAGCCACACTAACTTCTTTCCTCTTCTTCAAACTTGCTAAGCATATTCCCATGTTATGGCATTTTCACTTGTTTTCTTTGCCCAACATGGCCTGCCATCAAATTTTCACATAGCCCATTCTCTCAATTCAGGCTCAGCATAAATGCCATTTCCTTGAATAAGACTATCCTATCTGGCCAGGTGGTTCAATTGATAGAGCACCTATGTAGAAAGTGTGAGGCCCTGAGTTCAAATCCCAGTACTACCAAAAAAGAAAATAGCATGACTACTCACATTCTGTTTGCCCTGCCTAATTTTCCTCATTACTCTTCTTTATATATATTTATTATCTTTCCTCCTCCACTACAATGTAAGTTCTATCAGGGCAAGGAATTGGTCATGTTTCCTAGCAACTGAAAGAATTTGTATAACTCTACAGGTACTTAATAAGTACTTTTGTGAATGCACTGAATTAATGAATAGTTGAAATGCCTCTGAAGTACTCAAGAGGAGATATTCAGAAGACAGCTACATAAATGGTCTTAACATCAAGGAAGAGTCTAGGATGAGGGAAAATGCAGAAGCCCTGAAGATGCCTATACATGCATATCAGGTGGTAGATTAAAGAGATTAGAGGGAAGGGAGTATGGCTCAAGTAGTAGAGTACATGCTTAGCAAGCATGAGGCCCTGGGTTCAAACCACAGCACAGAGAGAAGGAGAGTAGAGAGAGAGATTAGAAAAGCCTCACTAACAGTACAGAACAAGTTGAAAATAGAGTATCAGGGACTGAAGATAAAATAGAGGATTTAGAGCAATTAGTCAAAGACAGTGGAAAACACTAAGAAAGAACAAAACAGATCATGCAAGACTTCTGGGACACCATCAAAAGCCCAAACCTACAAACCATGCATATAGAAGGAGGAGAAATAGAAGCTAAAGGTATGGATAACTTAGTCAAGAAAATAATAGAAGAAAACATCTCCAATTTGAATTAAAGAAAGGGTCATTCAGGCATCGGAGGCTTTCAGAACACCAAACAGGAAAGATCAGAAAAGAAATACCCTGACACATATTGTAATCAAAATATTAAATATACAGAACAAAGAAAGATATTGAAAGCTGCAAAAGAGACATGACAAGTCACATATGAAGAAAAACTCATCAGAATAACAGCAGATTTCTCAAGACAAACTCTAAATGCAAGGAGGGCATGGAATGATATCATCTAATCTCTAAAAGAAAACAAATGTCAACTTAGATGAGTGAATCCAGCAAAATTTTCCATGATACACAAGAACTAAAGAAATTCATGACCCTAGACCAAAACTTCAGAAGATACTTAAAGAAAATCTACACATACGCAGAAGAGGAGAAACACAACCAAGAAAATTCAAGAAAGAATAAACCTAAATGAACAGATTGGGAAAGGAGGAATAGGAAAGAAGAAAGTATAATAAAAACAAGAAAATGACCTGAAAATAACACATGGCTTTTAATATTAATGCTGAATGTTAATGGTATTAACTCCTCAATCAAAATGCATAGAATGGCAAATTGAATTAAAAAGCAAGACCCAACTATTTGTTGCCTACAAGAAATGCACCTCACAGGATGACAAGCATAGGCTTAGAGTGAAAGGATGTAAAAAAGATTTTCCAAACACATGGACCTCAAAAGCAGGCAGGAGTAGCTATACTCATATCTAATAAAACAAACTTTAACATTACTCAGAAGAAACAAAGAAGATCGCTTTATATTAATAAAGGGAAAATTCATCAAGATGAGAAAGCACTTGTTAAAATACATGCACAAAATGTTACTGCACCTGATTTCATTAAACAAACACAGATACCAATGGCTCATGCCTTGTAATCCTAGCTACTCAGGAGGCAGAGATCAGGAAGATCACAGTTCAGCCAGGGGAAATAGTTTGTGAGACCATATCTTGAAAAAACCCTTCACAAAAAAAGGGTTGGTGGAGTGGCTCAAGGTGTAGACCCTGAGTTCAAGCTCCAGTATTGCAAAAAAAAAAAAAAAAAAAAAGGGAGAAGGAGGGGAAGGTAACATAATACAAGGGACAGGGGTAAATATGCTCAAAATCCACTGTGTGCATGTACGGATTTTTCACATAAAGAAAGATTAGAATCTAGGAATTAGTTTTGAAGAGTTCTCACACTTAATGGCTAACAGCAGGATAAGTTTTCAAAGGAGCCTGAGCAGGAGTTGCCTGAGAAATAATTTCCTATTTATTTCTGTTACAAGACTACAAGATCCTTGAGGGCAGGAAAACAATCATTTTTCCATTTCTTAACACTTAGTAAGAGCCTGGAATACAAATAGAACACAATTGGGTTTCTTGAATTAAGGAATATATAAAACATATCTTTAGAGAAATACATGACTTATTTCTTTTTCAATTTCAGGTTAATCCACACATAAAAGAATACAAAAGCATATATAATTCTAAAATCAGTACTCTGCCCTACCATCATGACCCCTAATGTTCACCCTCCAGAGTAAAAGACAGTACTCCTTCCAAGGATCTGTGCTTTTGCAAGCTTGGATTTTATCTCTAGAATCATTTTGCTCAGAACAGAAATTATTTTAAATAATTTTTGTACTCATAGTTCCTAACATAATGCCTAGCATTTAGTAAATGCTCATTAAAAGAATTTCTTAGCTGGGTGCCCCAGTGGCTCATGCCTATAATCCTAGCTACTTCAGAGGCCGAGATCTGAGATCAGGAGGATGCACTTTGAGGCCAGCCTGGACAAATAGTTCACGAGGCACCCCCATCTCAAAATAACCAGAGCAAAATGAACTGGATGTGTGGCTAAAGAGGTAAAGTGCCTGCTTTGTAATTGTGAAGCCCTTAGTTCAAATCTCACCAAAAAAAAAAGGAATTTCTTAAAGTGAAGATTATGCAAATAAATACACATACTTTAGTTCATACAAACATTTAAAACCATCAATTGTTCCTTGAAGTTGCAAGTTTACTTCCAAATAGAGACTACAAAATTTGTTGCAAGAAATAAAACAGAAATCTGAGATATAGAAGTTAACAAGGATGTAACTGTAAAGTCTATTCTAATAAGCTAAATATGAATGCCAATAATGCAGGACATTTTGTTGATCTCACTACTTTTCAGTCATCACATTTGGCCACAATATATCCATTTATTTGTTGTCCTCTCCTACTATTCAGACCTGCAAAGGCAGGGAAACAGCCGCTTCCCAGTTTAAATGGCAATGCTTAGTACAGAGTACGTAACTCAGTAGACATTTATTAAATAAATAAATGATGAGTGCTGTAGGGATTGTTAAGATCCACTTTCTAGCCTTGCCAATATTTCTTTCTTAAAAACAACTAAACTAAAAGTCCTCAGTTTCTTGGGGTACCTCGTTTGCTAACACACAGTATATGAGAGCAGAAATAAGGAAATACATACTCATGAATATAGTGTTACCATCTATTACCTGATGCTGAATTTGAAGTACACTTTGGTTCTGGAGAAATATTTTGGTCTGTCAATGTCATCACTCTATGGTAAGAACAAATCAGAGGTATTTACTTATCTTTCAGTAACTTGCAAGAATCCTAAAATCTTAGTTAAAATAAAGATAGTCATATGGAAATAATTACCCTATAGAAAAATACAATCTGTTAGAAAAGCGTTAGAATTTAATGATAAAAGGCAATATATTTACACACTTATCAGTGAGACAACACATGGAGAATAAGGTATATTGTTCAGAATCACACACATGGCTTTAAAGCCCAACTTTGCTCCTGAGTAAACTTGAGAAAGCTGCGTTTTAACCTGTCTTGATTCTTGTTTACATCATCTATACAAAAGGGATAAAAATCTTTTTTCCCAGGATTCTTGTGGTAAGAATTTCAAATATGGGACAATAGTTTTTTTAAATAAATATCCTTTCTCTTTTGTCCTTCCACAAATGAGATTGTTCTTGACTTTATGTGAACAAGAGGGAGAGGATTAAGAAGAGAATTGGCCATTTTAAAGAGAAATATGAAAGAATCAAAGCTCAGACTTTCTTCACCAAAACAAGATCTGAGCAACAGGTGGACTTCTTAGCAAGACAACGGAGTTGAAAGCCAAATGTGAGAAGAAAAATTTAAAAATTCCTATTACTAATTAATTGAAAAGTTGAATTCAGTAAGCAGAGTTTTATTCTTTCCTATTTCCCTTTAAACTCATACTGTCTAAGTAGTTCTTTCTTGCTTCTGAATGAATTTTCAGGTAGACTTTTTTTCTAATTATTGTTTTTCTGATATAATAAATAGCTATTTTTAGGTAATAAAATGTCTAATGTAGTATCACAACTCCAAAGTCAATATAATTTAAATTTCTTTTTCCCAGCTGGGGCCTGATTAAGATTCAGATCACACAATAGGAAAAGCAACCATGGTAGGTCTCCCTTCTATTTCTTATTCTTGTCCCTCTTTTATTTGGTAGCCACTCTTTGGATTCCTCTAGCACTGGATTAGAGGGAAGGAGTTGTAGTAAGGGCTTCTTGATCTTGATCTTGATTGTGACTGATACTACTATAAGATGCCACTGGTTCCCTTTTGATGTGACAGATAGCCAAATGCTGACTCCTTCAAACTGGAAGTATTTTGAGGGGTTCTTTGGTAATTTCTCTATTAATGGGCACTCCTACTTGTGGCTATTAATGATTTCCTCAGACTTTGCATTTGATGATAGAAATCTCTTTTGATTGAGGTTACTTTACCCTTTGCAGGAAGTCATACTGGGCATAATCCCTTTCAAAGTGATCCATATTGGCCTCCTGTGGAATTCATGTTTGACCTGTAGTTATTATGCACAAATCTTTGTTATGCCAAACACTAAAAGTACCTCTCTATCTTCATCTTTATCCTGCCATTTCAAAACTTCCAACTCTCTTACCTTTAGAGTGTTCAAGTATGAGCCACCAAACAAATTCCAGGGGACATGTGTTGAACCTTTCAAATGATTCTTTTGGAACTTGTATGGAGGTGACAGAGAAGTCACTTACCCTCCTTCATGGGACACAAATAACTATTACCAAAGAAATAAGCATTCTTGGTCTTTTTATCTTCTTAGTGTATTCTTAGCTTTTTCCTAAGTAGCTTCGAGATATGTGATAGACTAATGCTGGCAGATTGGTGTTCTGATCTTATCTTTCACAAATTCTTGTGGGAGGGAGGATACCTGTCATTTCTTATTTTATCTATGAGGAAGGAAGGAGGGAGGAAAAGAGGAAGAGAAGGGAAGGAGGGAGGGAAAGAGGGAGGGAGGGAGGAAAGCAGAAAGGAAGGAAGGAAAGTAGGAAGGAGAAAAAAGAAATAAAAGAACTCTAGGAGAAAATATTCACACAGGACAACTCAACATAAAAATAGTAGGAGCTTAAGATGCTCAGGCAGAGAGGGGAACCCAATTAGCCCTCCTGAGATTTCCTTAACATTATAAACAAGTTCTCAAAACTCCATATATCACGGGCAATTCAGGAGATGGTCAAATTTAGAGGCAAGGTATCTGCCACAGGGCTGCTGTGACTTTTACCACAAAGGTTGCCGAAACGCAGCCTAGTCTGAGTCTGGGTGGAAGACTTCGAGTAGACCCAAAGGGTTTAGGGAAACAACAAAAGACAAGGTGAGGGGAAATCAGCAATGAAAGAGTTCAGATCCTAAATAGAATCTTAAGTTTACCAGTCAATGTCTTTACCAGTGGAGCCCAGCCCAGGTATAAGGCCAACTAGAAACTCTGTAGTATAATAAATAAAAATCCAAGTTAGTTTGTGAATTCCAGATATCCTCAGGCCCCAACTTCATTATACCCCATCCTTGCTACAAGGTCTGCCTCTATGCCACCTTTATTTAGGGTGACTATTTGTCCAAACTAAGTAAGGGCACTCGATCATGAATTATACCAGAAAAACCAACATAAACTGGGACTGCCACAGGCAAATCATGAGGTATGACTCCTACTTACATTCCATTCTTAGGAATACAGAGTGGGGAGAAAAATCTAGATTTAGCATGGATCTAAAAAAAGACTTCTAACTGGAAGTACTTGAGTGATAATAAAAAAGCTTAATTCTTCATTTCCCAGTTAAATAGGGGAGAAGAGTGATGAAGGCCCATGGGAAATTTAAATCAGTTATTTAAAAATAAACAAATCTCTATTTTCTTTGCATATACAAGTGGTAGGTTTTATTTTTTAAGGAAAGGGCAGCATCTAGGCAAAACAAGAATCAGGAACATCCTATTACCTTTGCTCTCATTTCAATGGTCATTTCAACAGTCATTGCAGAGGGTCTACTTAGGACAATATAAATAAAACTCCTTTTTTCCCTTACCTACTATGTCAAAGTTATAGGGTTTTAATTTTGTAAATGTTCTGTTTAATTCAAGACAGCGCCAAAACATCTAGTGGATAATAGTTGCTCCAAACTGGTATCATTATTATCCAAACATCACTCTTTCTTAAGAATGCATTGCATTGTAAACTATGGATTTTTTAAAAAGTGATCTATCATCATTTCCAATAACCTAAGTGATTTACCTTTTATAATTTCCACTGTCATTTATAGAAGAATTTACTAAAGATTAACAGAATAGATTTTCTTTCCTTCCTCACCATTTGAATACAGATATATTTGTAAGAAGGCTACCACACTAAAGCTATTCTCTTCTTATTCTGTATACTTTCCCATGGAGACAACTACATCCTCAGCCAGGACCTCTCCCCTGTTACTCAGGATGGGATATCTGACTAGCTTGCTGGATATATCCACTTCAATATGCCTTAGGTATTTCACCATCACACCAATCTACTCTTTCAACTTGTTCCCTAAGTCAGAGGTGAGGGCCAATTTGGATTCCATCATCTTGCCTCAACCAATTAGTCATTAAGAACTATAGTGGCCAGGTGGGATCCCAGCTACTTAGGAGGCAACGATCTTGAGGACTGTATTTCAAGGTCAGCCCAGGCAAAACAGTTAAAAGATTCTCACCTCAACAAACAAGCCAGGCATAGGAGACACAGGTTGGAGGATCACAGACCCAGGCTGGCCTGGGCAAAAAGCAAGACTCTATCTGAAAAATAACTTAAAGCAAAAAGGGCTAGAAGTGTGGCTCAAATGGAAGAGTACTTGCATAGCAAGTAAAAGACCCTGAGTTCAAGTCCCAGTACCACAACAAACAAACAAAAAACCTCATTGAGAACCTCATGAATTGTTCACAAATTTTTCCTTTCTGCTAAAGTTCAGGTCCTTCTGATGCCTCACTTAGAATATTACAATAGTAATTTCTTCACTCTAATCACTCCTTCCAAACTATCTTTTTTCTTTGTTGCTAGTTATTTCTTCAAGACAGAAAACTAATCATGCACATCTCTATAAAGAAGAATAACAGGTAGCAATTTTCATTAGGTAAGCAAAAATTCAACAGAAATGTACACTTAAAAGTATATGAATTCTCACTCTGACTCTGGTGTTAGCACAGAACACCTATGCTTTAGATTCCTAACAAACAAGACAACATAGTACTGTTTGCCATTTAATTGTGGTAAGAGAAATCTAGTTTAAGATGTGAAGAGTTGCACATAATTATTTGAAAGTCAGAAAAATCCATCAAAAAGTTATAGTTTTCCTTATATCTTAAGAAACTGAAAGCCCAAATTTGACTCAATTAAAGCATCTGACTCTTAACTCTGTGAATTATTAACTTTTGTTCAAATTCCCTTGCCTCTTATCTACATCTCCCAATAAAATTTTCTGTTCTCTTAACTTTTTTATAGCTTTATTAAGATATTATTAACATATCATATATTTTGGAAACTGCCAAACCATTTCCAAATCACCTTCATCGTTTAAAATTCCCCCTAGCAATGCATGAGGATTTTAACTTCTCCACACTCAAGCTAACATTCGTTACTGTCTTTTTGAATGTAGTCATCCCAGTAAGTGCAAAGTGCCATCTCATTAGTTTTGATTTGCATTTCCCTCAGGGCTAATCATAGTCAGCCTGTTTTCATTTCCTTATTGGCCATCTGTATATTATCTGTGGAGCAATGTCTGTTCAGATACTTTGCTTATTTTTAAATTGGGTTATTTGTCCTTTCATAATTGACTTGTAAGAGTTCTTTATATATTCTGTATACAAGTCCCTTACCAGATATTTATGGATCTTCAAATGTTTTCTCCCATACTGTTGGCTGGCTTTTCATATTGCTTTTTCTTCTTTCTCTTTTTTGGCAGTGCTGGGGGTAGAACCCAGGACCCCATACATGCTAGGCAAGTGCTCTACTACTGAACCACATTCCTAGCCCCTTTCATTTTCTTGATGGTGTCTCCTAACTTTATTTTTAAACTTATCTGATTTTTCTGTAAGTTCCTTCAAATTCTTCAAGGGTTAAGGTATTTAAACTTTTCACAATCTGCTTCTGTCCTGCTGAAAATCTTTCAGGGGTTCTTAACACATTCAGGATAAATATAAAATCCCAGCCCTCAAGGTCATTCACAATCCAGACTGTGACTTCCTCTTTGAACTTAGACCCTGTCTCTCTCACGAACAGACTCTACCATTCAGTTCACATACCACAAACCAAACTGTTCCTCTAGTAATATGAGTTTCCTCGGTCTTCCCCATCTTAATAATTGGCAACTCTATTTGTTTTGTTTGTTTGTTTGTTTTTTGCAGGAGCCTCAAAAGCAAGAGATATTGGCATCATTAGTTCAACAATAATAATAACAATAATTCTGTCAGATACAGAATTGCATTAAGTAAATCCTAGTACATAAGTGTTTTTTAGAAACAATTAGGTGTATAATCCTTTGTTATGTATTCCCAGGGCCCAAAAGTGGTCAATCTGTTCTTAAACTTTTATAAAGTTTCAAGAATAAGTAATTAGCACATATTTTGTAAAAACTCCTGAAGCAATACTGAATACAGCAGCTCCTTTTCAGCAATTCACAAAAAGCAAAGTTTTTTTTCAGACTACCAAGAATATAAGGAATTAGATTAGAAGTATAATTCAATTTAGTTAAACAAACAATCATTTAAAATCCACAAGTATGATTTTTCCCATAATATTGTATTTCATTTGATATAAATTAGGAACAAAAAACATGTACCTTGGAGACTTCTTGCTTTAAGAGAGAAATAATTTTGGCAATTGTGCAAGAACTAGAATGGCATGTCAATTTTACAGAATTTCAGAAAGCTAGACTGACAGAAAACCAAGTAAGGAAAGAACAAGAAGGAAATGATTTCTACCAGTACATCCAAACTTGTTTAATAGCCAATGTGAATTAATAAATACTTAATGATAAATTTGCACAAAATGAAGCTTAAATCTACTAATTCAATTTTAACCAAGTAACTTCAGTAAGAAATGTATCAAACACATTTTATAAAATGTTATTTTACAGATCTGCTATTAAGTCAAACTATGGAGTCAGTCTTGACTATATTTTCTCCCAACCTAGCATTCAGTCCATCAACAGATCTTGTCAGTTCTACTTTTAAAATACATCCAAAATCTGTCATCTCCCCACCTCTGCTCTTCCCACTCTGGTCCACACTCAGAGAACAATAGCATCCTAACTATCATCTTCTTAATTCCTTGCTTCCTCATAATTTATTCTCATAACAGCCAGGGAGATTCCCCTACAATGAGTCATGCCATGTGATTCCTCAAAGTCTTCCTAACTCACTCACATTGGACTACAATGCCTCCTGCTTCTTTTCTCACTTCAACTACCTCTCTACTCCAGATGCCCAGGCTGTCCTTCTTGCCTCAGGGCTCTCCTGACTATCTCATCTACCTAGAATACTCTTTCACCAAGCTTGCTCTGTCTCTTTCTTTACACATCTGCTCAAATGTCCTCCTTTTCAATGAGGACTCCCCTGAAAACACTATGTAAAATAGCAAACCTCCACCCTAATACTCCTTTTCCCCATCTTGCTTTATTTTCCCCATACCATTCATTACCATATAACACAGTATAAATTTACTTGCTTATTTGTTTATTATTCATCACTTCCAACTAGAATGTGGACTCAGGGGGGCAGAGATTTTGTTTGTAATCAAGTTTGTTTATTACTATATGTCCAGCAATTAGAACAGTCCTAGCACATAGAAAATCTAAATCCTCAACAAATATTGAATGATAAACATCTGCATTTATTGATTGACAACTGTATTAGCTTCATAAATTTTAGAATACAGGGTTTTCAAAAGCGTAAATAAATTCTTAGTTCTTACATTTTTCTATGATATTTCTGATAGTTTTCTGAAGAAGTACCTAGGAAAGGGACAAAAATCAATCAATTAGAAATAGACATAATTCAAAGACAAATAAGAGATTAAAATTATTCTAGGTAAAAATAAATATTTTCCCAAACATACATAGTGACAGTGCAATTTGTTTGTATAATTTTATTGTTTTATATCATTTTTCATGTCTACTACTTGTTAGGTAAAAATATTTTCAAAATATCAAAGTAAATCAAAAAGTGCTAAAAAAAAAAGTGTTACAAACTATTATGAGATACAGGAATCTGTCACCTTGTTCATAATCTGAAGTGTTTTATAACTATTTCATTAGGATTCTTACAATAATGCTATCAGTCAAATATACCAATTTATTATCCCCATTTTACATATGAGAAAATAATAACTGGCCAAGTAATAAAACTATAGCTAGATAAAATTAGGTCACATAGTCCAGTAACAAATATCTACATATGTGTACTAGGAGGTTGATTAGTCAAGAGACTTTCCCAGTAAACACTTTGTTGCCTCAGGTACACTGGGACATTACTGGGAATATAAGGAACTGTGAGAGTAGTCTTCTGAGGAAGTTGTATCCTTTGGCAGCTGGAGCACTTTGCTTATGTTAATAGAATTTAAAAATCCCAACAGTTAAGAAGAGGTGAAGTGAATGGTGCCTTCCAAGCATTTCCTTGTGAGGGAAGTTCTCAAAACATACAGGACCACAGTAGATACTTACCATGTGCATCAACTCTGTTTTTGCTGATAGCAGTCCTCTTACATTTATTCTATGGTCCAGGCATAGCCTATAACTTAATTCAGTAAGAGCCTGACATCTCACTGGCCAAAGTGACTAGTTCAGAGGTAATTTAAGTCAAGATGGGTCCAGGACTTAACAGTTGGGAAAGAGAAGCACTTTTTTCCATTGGATTGGAGGCTGTGAGTATGTAAGTCTGGGGCTAGAAAGAATTGCTATATGAAGGGATCTGGCTGAGAGTGTAACTAATACAAAGGGATCATGAGTTGAGAGATGGAGAGGAATTCGATTGTACTGAGACCATTTGAAACCCTGGATCAAGTTGCATAAGCATTAGATTTACTGTTGGACTTTTCAGGTTCATGTGGCATTCAACTGTCTTTTTAAACTAGTATCATTTGAGTTAATTTGTTTGACATTTGCAATGGTTCTAACCAAACACTTGCTAAAGTGAGGCAGCTTCTTTGTGTACTTGATATAACTAAAGAAGCTGCACAACTGACTGGATAAAGAAAATAGGAGATATATATGTATATACACATAGAGATTTGTATATATACATATACACACACACACAATGAAATATTATTCAGCCATAAAGAACAAAGTAATGTAATTGTTAAGAAAATGGATGGAACTGGAGACCATCATGCTAAGTGAAATAAGCCAGACTCAAAATGATAAATATGCATGTTTTCTTTCATATGGGGAATCGACTTTTAAAAAAAAACAGCTGTATGTGGTGGTTCATGCCTATAATCCCAGCTACGTCAGAGGTTAAGATAGGATCACGGGATGAGGCTAGCCTGGACAAAAGCAGGAGAGCCTAGTTAAAAAACAAACTAAAAGCAAAAGGACTGGGGGTGTGGATCAAATGGTAGAGTGGTTGCACACCAAGTAAGACAGCCCAGAGTTCCAGACAAGACATGAAAGCAGAAGGGGAAAAATTTGGGGGAAGAAGGGGAATAACAGAAGGAGGAAGGAAAACAAGAGAGGGCAATGGGGGTAAATATGATCAAAGTACCTAGTGTGCAAATATGAAAATGTCATAATGAAACCCATTGTTTTGTACAACTAATTTTTTTTGGCAGTCCAAAACTCTCAAAACTCTGAACTCTGAGTCCTGAACTCAGGGCTTTGCTAGGCAGGCACTCTTCCACTTGAGTATTCCACCAGCCCTTTTTTGTGTTAGTTATTTTTGAGATAGGGTCTTGCTTTTTGCCTGGCCTGGCTCAAACCTCAATCCCCCTAATCTCTGCCTCCTGAGTAGCTATGATTATAGGCATAAGCCACTAGCACCTAGCTGTACAATTTATTTCTTAAAGAAAGAAGACAGGAGAAGAAGAAAAAAAGAAATATTACTACTCAGGCAGCTATCAATTTTCCCAAAAATGACCCTTAACCCAGTATTTAGTTCTTTGACATTCTCCCTGCTAGGTGGGCTGATGACATCCATCCATACTTCCCTCTCCATTTTTCCACTGCCTTCCATCACTATAGAAGCTAGAAAAGCAAAATACTTGGTTTCTCAGGCTCTTTAGTAATATGCAGATATATGATGTAGTTCTGCCTAATAGACCTAGATAAAATCTGCTGGAAAGCATTTGCTCTTCTGATAAAAGGAGCTATGCATAGGTACTACTGAGCTTTCACATTTTTGCCAGGAACATCACTATGAAGTCTAGGGATTTAGCAACCATCTTAGAACTACAGGGTAACAAACCAACAGACTTGGTAACAGGATGACAGAAAGAGCCTAGCATCTCCAGACCTGACTCTGAATCGCAACAGACTAGGCTCAAGAAGAGGGAAAGTAAGCATTTCAGACTATCTTTGGGGAGTTTTAGGTTTACATAGAGGAAGAATTGGGGCAGTTATGCATAATTAAGCACTCTTAAACAAGTGGTCTGGGGGACCATTATCTCAGTTCCTGTCCTGCAGGGTGGCTTGAAGTAATCCTTACTGCTTGAGGGGACAATCTACTTCTCATGATCTTATCATGGGGTTATCTGTCTGTGGAGCTCTGTCATTACTGGACTCCAAGGCTACTGCAAGTTTAGGATAATGACTGGAGAATTTAGGGATCTGGAGGAGGACAGTGTAAAAGCTGATGGTCAGAGGCCTTAGTTACTCTTATCTTTGTGCCTTCATCCTTGAAGGGGGATGACATAGGCTGGGTATCATGAGGTTTTAGACAAACATGCCTTGAATGATTAACACTCCTATGTGTAGAGTTAAGCAGGAGTCTGACCCAAGCTTTAACAAAGGAGACAGAGCAAAATAAAGGCAGAAGTGCTCAGCTTTTAGTTTGCCATTAGTAACTTGTGGGCCCCAGTGAGGAGTCAGTGATTTTAAGTAAAAGCAGTTTCTAAGTACCTATTAGAACTAGGGTATGTCCTTGGGAGCTGTATCTGCCATGTCCTCTTCCTAAACTCCCCCCCTCTGCTTCCTGGCTGCCATGACCTGTGCTTCTCTATTTCACTACTCCCTCCCTGCTGTAATGACACCTCTGGAATTTTGAGGCAAGATAAATATTTCTTCTTTTGAGTTTCTTTTCTTGGATATTTGGTCATAGTAATGCAAGAGTCTAATTCAGAAAATTAGCAGGGATGTGGGGTCATTGCAAAGACTACCTCTGATCTTGTGGTTCTTAAGCTTGCAGAACTGTTTTATGGGAGGAATTTGGAAGAGTTTGGTGAAGCAGGATAGAGAAAGCCTACAATGTTGTAAGCAGAGCTTAATGAGCAATTCTGGTGGGAGCTCAGAAGATGATAATGTTGACAGGAATGAGGACACTGAAGGCCAGGCACATGAGATTTCAGATTACAACATGAACTTTATTCTGAATTGGACTAGAGGCCATTCATGTTACATTCTGGCAAAGAATTTGTCCACACTTTGTCTGTGTCCTGAGAATTTAAGTTAGGCTGAGCTTAAAGTAATGAACTGATCGACTTGGAAGAGGAAATTTCAAGATACCATAGCATTCAGGCTGTGGCATGGTTATTGCTGGCTGTGTTTAGCCAGGTTTATAGTGAGAATGGGGAGTAAAGATCAGTGAATATGAGCATTTAAAGTTGTGAACAAGAAGGGTATGGTAATTAAAGACATCAGCAACATTAAAAAGCCAAGCACTAGTCAGGCCCTGTGGCTCACACATGTAATTCTAGCTACTAGGAGGCAGAGATGAGGAGGATTGTGGTTTGAAGTCAGCCCCTAGCAAAATCCATCATGGAAAAAGGTCTGGCAGAGTAGCTCAAGTGGTAAGAGCACCTGCCTTGAAAGCAAGAGGCCCGAGTAAAACCCCAGTACCATCAAAAAAAAAAAAGCCAAGTCAAGCACTTTGCAGAGACAATAGGAAAGATGCCTTGAGGGCATGTCAGGAATTCCAGGTTATAAAATTGCAAACTCATTTGAAAGATATTCCTTTAAGAGAGTACCTCCATGGCACATTGCTCAAAAAGGACTGCCTGAGAAAGTACTTCCCCATGCCCAGCCACCCAGGAACTCAGAGGCCATTGCAGTTATGGTTCAAGGGGCCCAGATACTGCTTGACAGGGCAACAGACCTTGGCATTGACCACATGATGCTGGTTTTGTAGGTATGCATAATGCAAGAGTTATGGGGTCATGGAAGCTTCAACTGAGATTTCAATGAAAGGCTACTCAATATGAAGCAGAGTCCCTGCAAGGATCCTCTGAGATGGTAATGCATAAGGCTTTGAGGGTGAAGTCTAAGCTGTCATGGAACCTCAGCAAGTTAGAAAAACCCAAAATGAAGAATGCCTTCAAGAACATGCAACAAATAAAGCCAGACCAAGAGAGAGGCCATGTGGACTGTAAATAGCAAGGCCATAGCATCTATGTAAACCTACTGGAGCTCGTATCATGGCACTGCATGCCCCAGAAACTGGATATGGACCTATAGGACTTAATGTTTTCCCCACTGAGTTTTGGTCTTGCTTTAATCTAACCTTTCCTTGCTACCTTTATTTTTCCCTTTGGAATGGGAATATTTGCTCTGTGCCATCAAATCTTGAGAAGTGTATAAAAATTTCTTTTTGATTTTACAAGGGCTCACAGCTGAGAGTTTGCCAGAAGTCTCAGGAAAGATTGAGAATTTGGCATTTTGAACAACTATGGAGACTCCTGAAGTTGGACTGAATGCATTTTATATTATGAGATGGAGATGAGCCTTTTGGGGACAATGGGTGAATGCTGTGGTTTAAAGTGATGTGTTCAGGTGTCAACTTGATACAGGGTGACTTGTGGTGGTTAATTCTGATTGCCAACTTGACTGGATTAAGAAACAACTGGGAGACTGGTACAGCACACCTCTGGGTACTGTGATGGTATTTCCAGAGACAATTAGATCATGAAAGCTCTGACCAGGGCCTAGTTGAAGGAAATAGATTACTGGGGCATGTCTTTAGGGGCTATTATCTTCCCTGGACTCCTTCTGTATTCCCTCTCTCTGTGTGTGTCCTGGCTGCCATGACATAACTACTCTGCTTCAACACTGCCTTCCCACCACGATGGACTGCATCTATCACTATAAGCTAAGATAAATCTTTCTCTCTTGAGTTTCTTTTCTTGGGTATGTGGTCACAGTAAAACAAAAGCCTAATCCACTACCTATACCATCTGTCTTTGGTGAACTCTTAGAACAACACACAGAACTGCTCTAGTTAAGTACATGCAAAAAGCCAACAAAGGAAGGGATTCTACCAGCAAGATCCTGTTTCTAAGAGTAGTCTATGGAATCTGATCACTTTAAAAAATGGCTCCTTATTTTTTATATAGTTCCACTCTTGGATAACAAAGTTAAATGGAATTATGTATAATTTAATATAAAATGATTAGCGCTGGAGTTGACAGGATTGAACTTCCACTCCCAACAGCCAATGATTTCATTACTGACTATCTTTAGTCCAGTGGAAACTTGTTTATAGAAACTTTTAGGGCTCATTTTGGTTTTACTTATCAGTCAGCTATAGGTACCAAGTGCTTCTGAGGAATTAAAAATATATATTTAACTTGTGGGAAACTTTAAAGGTTTCCTCACTTATCATGTAGATGACTACATATAGATATACTTACAAAAATAAGAAGAGTGGGATTCTTCCCTTCAACTTCAATATTATGAGATATTACCAGTATTTTTATCAGTATAAATTCTTTAACATTAACTGAACATGGTATAAAAATTCATGCTGAATTATGAAGAATAAAAAAATGCTCCTTAAACATATGAAAAGTATTCAAACTCACATCTAATTAGAGAAATGCAAATTCCCTAACATAGAAATATCACCTTTCACTTATTAAGGTAGCAAAAATTTTAAAATATGACAACACATCCTGTTGGTGAGTATATGAGGATATGTGGAGACAAGTACTTCCATATGTTGCTAATGGGAATCAAGCTGATAAAACACATATAGAGGAAAATTTGGCAATTTTCAACAAATTTATATATCCCTGTATCTTTTGACACAGACATCCTGTCTCTAGGTCAAAATAATATAATATATAAAATAATTATATATTTAATAATTATATAATTATTTAAGATAATTATATGATATATAAAGATATATCATCGATTATTATGAAACATATTGTATATTATCTGGCAATAAATTTATTCCTATAGCATTGTTTATGGTGGGAAAATATTGGGAAAAATATTCTTAAGTACCCAATTCACAGACAGGAGACTGGTTGCATAAACAAAGGGACATCCACACAGTAGAGTACTAATATGAAGAAGATATCTATAAGTAAATATGGAGTGATTTCTAGAATATATTGTTAAGTGGAGAAAACAAAGTAAGAAAGAGTAGCTCTATAGTATGTTATCCTTTGAGTAACAAATAGGAGTATATAATGAAACACATAGTATCTGCTTATTTGTACAAAAGAAATACAGGAAGAATAAATCAGAAAGTAGGGTCACTGGTTACTCACTGAGAGTCAGTGGAAAAGAGGCAGAAAGAAGTGAAAGGATAAGGATGGCAGGAAGAAGAAATAAGTGACAATTTCCTAACAATGTCTTTTGTATTCCTTACTAATGTTTCATATGTGCTCTGAATAAATAAAGTTAAAAAATCCAAAGAGGACAGCGAACCCAAAGCCAAATTCAGCAGCAACAAATGAATCTATACTTATAAGTGAATAACATTTCATATACATTGAGAGGGTTGGGGAAAAGTAACTAACCTATGTAACTTTGGAAAAATAGCATTTTGTCTGGATACTATAATGCTAAAGACAAAAGGAACTGTACATAAATGCTGTAATCTATTTAGTTAATATGCTTCTAACAGGGGTCTGGGCTAATACTTCTGAAACATATATTCTAGAATTGGGTAAGTAAATAAAAAATAGAAGTATTGGATTTCAATTCATGGAATAAAATGAATATTCACACACTGCATGCTGAGGTACGTAATCAAATGAATAAATAAATGGTAGAAAAGAGATAATTTTACAGTTAAATTACAGTTAATAAATTTAGCAGGAAAGAGTAGAACAGAGAAGTACCACTGCACAAATACCACAGTAACAATAGTTATACTCAACCAGCTCATCTGATGGCTGCCAAAATCAGGGAACAGAAGTTTCAGGAGAAACAAAATTGACAGTCTCAAATTATTTTTTTCTAGACAGATATTAACTACAAAGAGAAATGTTAAATTTACAATGGAGAAACTCAGAAAACACTACACTAACCAAGTGACAACATTTAATATCACCAGTAATAAGAAATAATGATATAATGAACCCCGTGATATGATATTTTGCACTGAGAAGGGAACAACATCACTTCTGAGGCATTCTTATGAAAAATTGCATAACCTCATTCCAACCATGAGAAAATATCCAGACAAACCCAAACTAAAAGATGTTATATAAAATAACTGGATCAGTAATCTTCAGAATCCTTCCAGATTATGAAGGATGGAGGAATTGTTACAGACTGAAGGAGACTAAGCAGAAATAACAACTGAAAAGTGGGATCCTGATTAGGATCCTCAAACAGAAGAAAAACAGAGAAAACCAATGAAATTGGAGTAAGGTCTATCACTCAGTTAACAGTTTTATACCAATGTGAATATTCTCATTTTGATCACTGTACTAAGGTTAACATAAGATAACATCAGGAAAACCAAGTTCAAAAAAGTAAATCCGTATGTACTTAGGTGATTATTAGATATTTTTTTTAGCCAAAGGTGATCTCAATTGATGAGTTTAGGTTAGAAATCACTCAGGAGAAAAAAAATGGTGTTTTTCCAACACAAATGAAGTAATCTTCCCCTGTGTCATGAGAAAAATGAATGTAAAACTCACCCAAAATTGAAGAGAAGTTTGAAAACTGTGGTACCTTCTCAACTGCTACTGCTTTACTAGTGTCCAGAAGAGTGGAATTCTTGCATTGTAAGTAGTCTTCCAACTTGGGACATTCCCAGTCTAAAAAAGTTGGGGCAGGAAGAATGCAAGAACTTTGAACAACAATCTATGAGGGGCAAGTTTCCGTTTCCTCCTTAATTTAGAGCCCCAGTCCATTTCAAATTGTGGTAATTAAAGGTTTAGGAAACACAGAACAAAAAGACAAACTTTGACAGCATCAAGATAAGAAATAATCTATGTCCTATCCCAGTTCTCTAGCCTAGATTTTTTACCCATAAAGATTATTGATTTAAGGGAAACGTAGCATGCGTGTAACTGAATAACTATTTTAATGTATATTATACCTCTATATCCCACTAAATATATTACTAAGTAATACATTTATTTATACTATTACTTCATATCAGCTTTAAACTTTCTATTGACTTCACTATGGAAAAATGGATTTATTCCTTCTGATACTCCCTTGTCCCCACCTTTCTCACCACTCCCATTGTCTATACTGTTATATTGTATATTTAAATATTCTGTTATATTGTTAAATATTTAATTAAATATTCAGTGCAGACACTGTGATGATAAAATAATATAAAAATGCTACTCTTGTGGTGTACCAACCATAACCACCTTTTGTTTTTTCCTGAAGTCAATGTCTTTTCCTCCATTGGTTTAGATTCCTCTGTACTTTTTATTGACCTAATTCAAAACTCTACCAAATTATACTAACCCATTCTATTTATTCAAGTCCCTCATGTTCTGAATATTTCCAAACACTATATCTTGCTCCATCATGTGCACTAGGTACATTGTGATCCTTTTAACTGGGAAACTCATGTTCTTTAGCTCCAGAAAATGTTCTTGAATTATTTCTTTGATAATATTCTTCCCTGTTTTTTTATTAGCTTTTCTTGGAACTCCTATTATGCAATATTGAATTTCATATACTGTTCCTTTAACATACATTTTTATCCAGATTTCTTTTTCCCTTAGTTTTCCTCTTCCTCTTTTTTTTCTATTCTTTGGGGTTTTTTGGGAGGGAAGGGGGTAGAAATCTCCTCAACTTTATCTGCTAGTGTTCTCATTCAGTTTTCCATTCTGTTATTGCACTTAATTAATGGAATATTTTATAGCATCCTGTTCCTATATAATACATAAAATACATATTTTACTATATTAATGAAGACTTTAAAGGTCTCTTCCTCATCCTTCAGTTTTAGATTTCATTATAGTTAAAACATTTAATATGAGATCTACCATTACAAGGTTTTACAAATACAATGGTTTTTTCCACTATAACCATAATGCTATATAGCACATCTCAAGAACTTATTTTGCTCAAGTGAAACTTGATACTTATTAAATAGCAGTTTCCTATATTCACCTTCTACCAGCTTCTATCAATCACCAAACTCTGCTTCTATGACTTTGACTGCTTTAGATACCTCTTATAAGTAGAATTATACAGTATTTGTCTTTCTGTGACTGGATTATTCAACTTAGCACAATGTCCTCAAAGTTCATCCATGTTGTCACAAATGGCAGGATTTCTTTTTTAACATTGAATAATATTCAACTGTATGAATATATCATACTTTCTTTATCCATTCATCTGCTTGTGGACCATTAATTCGTTTCACTTCTTGGCTAATGTGAATAGTGCTGCAATGAACATGGAATTACTAATATTTCTTTGACATTTCAATTTCAATTATTTTGGATAAATACCCAAAAGAGGCATTGCTAGATTATATAGTTTTTCTATTTTTAATTTTTAGGAACTTCCACATTGTCTTCCACAGCTGCGGCATCATTTTAATTTGCACAGTATACAAGGGTTACAGTTTAACCACATTCTTGATTTTTTATAGTAGCTACCGTAATAGTTACGAGGTGTTATCTCATTGTAGTTTTGATCTGCAAGTTTCTGATTCTAGGTGATGCTGAGAATTTTTTAATGTACCTACTGGCCATTTGGAGAAAAGTGTACTGAAATTCTTGCCCATTTTTAGTCAGGTTATTGGTTTTTATTTTGAGATATAAGACTTGCTTATATATTTTTGACAGAGCCTCTCCATATAGCTCAAGATGGCCTAAAATTCTCCATCTTCCTGCCTCAGCCTGCCAAGTCTTGGGAATATTGACATGTGACACCCAGCTTATGTATTTTGAATATTAATTCTTTTATCAGATATATGGTTTGTAAATATCTTCTCCTTCTCTATAGGTTGCTTTTTTTTTTTACTGTGTTGATTGCTTCTTTTGCTTTTTAGTGATACTTTTTAGTTTTATGTAGTACCACCTGTTTTGTTTTTATTATCTGTACTTTTGGTATCATATCCAATAAATCATAAAAATGTCATGAGATTTTTCCTACATGTTTACTTCTAGGAGTTCTACAGTTTAAGGTTCTAAAATTTTCAATTTTATAGTTTTTTTTGGTGGGGGGGGCAATACTGGAGTTTGAACTCAAGGTTTCACACTTGCTAGGCAAGCACTTTTACCACTTAAGCCACTCTACCAATTTTACAGTTTCTTAAATATAAGTTATGAATTCTTTAATCCAATTTAAATTGATTTTTTAGTATGATATAAAGGTACAATTTCAATTTCTTGCATATGGATATCCAGTTCTACTACACAGTGAGATAGTCTCAAAAAAATAAAGTCTTCAGGCTTTAAGTAAGAAAGGAACAGTCACTGCATCTGCCATTTAAAAATTACAATATCTAATCATTGTACACATTAATAGGCTTCACTGTGACATTTCTGTACTTGTATACATTGTCCTTTGATCATCACCATCCTCCTTATGAGCAGATCTCAAAATTTCACATGGAAGTTCTCATTTAATTTCTTCTCTGTACATGCCTCTCTTGCCCTTCCCTTTCTACTACTACCTCCCTCCCAAGTCCCTTTCATCTTCCCTAATAGTCCCTCTTTGTTTTTGGTTTTAGTTTCCACATATGAGAGAAAACATGCAAAACTTTTATTTCTCTGTTCTATGCAGAGATATCCTCCAGTTCTATCCTTTTTTCTGCAAAGGACATAATTTTATTCTTTTTTATAACTGAATAGTGCTACATTGTGTATATAACCACATTTTCTTTATCCATTCATTTCTGATGGGCACCTATGTTGAGTCAGCATTGTGGCTACTGTGAACAGTGCCACAATAAACATGGGTATTCTGCCAGGTTTTTGACATAAGACTTTCTAGGACACTGTAGTATGAACTGGCTTATTTCTGTGGTATACATATTGTTCATTTAGGACTCAGCTTTCTCATACCTGCTGACCTCTGGCTTTCCAAATTTTATGATTCCTTCTTTCCAATTCACTTTGTCTTTATGAATTTATGTTTTCTTTTTTGGCAGTGATGGGGTTTGAACTCAGGACCTCATGCTTTCTAGGCAGGTGCTCTACCACTTGAGCCACTCCCACCAGCCCTGTTTTATGTTGGGTATTTTCAAGATAGGGTCTCCTGAATTTTTCTTTTTAAAGAAAAAGGTATCTTCTGCCTCTGCAGAAAACTGTAGAGGAAAACATGCATTCAATTTGCCATTACCAACCAAAGGCTCTGTTAGAAAGTACAATTGTGAATTTGTAGGGAAAATTCAAGGAGGGACTTGACCTACTTAACATTTGTTAGGTACTGAAGAGTAAGAAAAGTACATGAAATAAAAGACAACAGTTCAAGAGACACACATTGTGTGCAAAACTAATTAACAATTGGACATGTATTACATGTAGGTGCTGAACATATCTTCATCCTTCCCTGACCTGAGGGTTTCGCCTCTATAGTCCTCTGTGTCTCAGCAAGGGAACAAAATGGGAATGGTCAGGGAAGGGAGATGTTGGTTTCTTCTCAAAAGGAACACTTATCATTGGAAGATGTGTGAACCAAGGAATAATTCTATAGTGGAGCAAAATAAGGTTGAAATGATTTTCTCACCCAAACAATCAGATCCTCTGAACAGCTCAGGTGATGAGAAGCTACTTATATTCTCTTCAGTGCTCTTGGATTCAGTAGAAGACTCTGTGACTGAGTAACTCAGGAAGGAATTGGAAATATCATATGGCAAACTTAGTCCTATAGAATACAAAACCAAACAAAAGGTAAACTGAATAGAAAACAGAATTGAAATCCTAATAACTCAAATTTGTAGAAATCTGTATGCAATTGTACACTAAGAAGGTAAAACTGATTCCATATACAATTGCAAAGGAATAATATTATAAATCAATTTAATTTGAACCTTAGAAAATAATTCTGGTTTTGAAGTTGATAAATGTATTAGAATCCTCTTCCATTGTTTTTCAAAGTTTTAGTTTCATGATTTACTATTTTCCTACTTTGGTTCAGTTGTGATTCCTGGCTCAAAAATTCCAAGTCCTAAGGGCTGGGTGTGGTGACACATGCCCGTAATCCTAGCTACAAAGGAGGTGGAGATGGGAGGATTGAAGTTATTCAAGGCCAGCCCAGGTTAAAAAAAATGTTAGTGAGACCGATCTTAAAAAATGAGCTTGGTGTGGTGGTACCCCTTGTAATCCTTGCTATGTGTTAAGTGAAGTAAGGGAGTGCTGTTCTATGGCCATCCCCTAGCAAATAGCACCGGACACTATCTGAAAAATAAACTAAAGCAAAAAGGGCTGGAGGGTACGACTCGAGTGCAAGAGCACTTGTCTAGCAAATGCAAGGCACTGAGTTCAATTCCCAATATTGCCAAAAAAAGAAAAGAAGAAATTTTAAGTTCTACATATAAGTAATTCACTAGTGAAGGAAAGGGTATGTCTAGTTTTCCATCTAAAAAAACAATGAGTCTACACATAGACAAACAGAAAATGGAACTGAACAAATAGCCCAGAAATAGGCTCACACATATAAGCAATGATTTTTGATCAAGCTGTAAAGGAAACTTAGTGGAGAAACAATAGTCTTTTAAGCAAATTGTGCTAGAACAACTAAATATACATTTGTGAAAACAAAACAAAACAAAAAAGGCTGCAGATGTGGCTCAGTGATAGAACACTTGCCTAGCATGCTTGAGGCCGTGGGTTCGATCCCTACCAACACAAAAACAAAATCCTAATCCAAACAAACAATTTACATTCATACCATCTATCACACAAATATTACCTCCAGCCAGGCATGCAGATGCACACCTGCAATCCCAGCTACTCAGGAGGCAGAGGCAGGAGGGTCATAGTAAGTTTGAGGCCAATCAGAGTAAAGTTAAGGATGTTATCTTAAAAACAAAATATAAACACAATAGCTGGGGACATGGCTCAAGTGATACAGTGATTGCCTAGCAAGGGTGAGGCCCTGGATTCACTCCCTAGTACTGCTAAAAAACCTCTAAATGGATTATAGACCTAAAAGTAAATCCTAAAACTATAAAATTTCTAGAAAAAAATATACAAGAAAATCACTGTGACACTGAGGTAAAGATATCTTTGATATAACACTGAAAGGATGACTCATAAAACAATAGCAATGATAAATAGGACTATCAACAGTCTCTTTAAAAGACTGTTCAAAAGAAAAGACACACTACAAGCAGGAAGAAAACATCTGCAAATGGACTGAAGCCAAAATATAAAGAACTCTGAAAACCCAATAATCTGAAAACAAGCACCTTAATAATAGGTGAAATCTTGGTCTCCCAGACCAACAGTTCTTAAAATCATTTCTATGAGAGTGGAAAAGACTAAAGAACTTCCCAATCGATGAAGATAGAAAATAGTACTACGAATTGAGGAAAACTAGAGAATTTAATAAGAAAAAGGAAAATACACTTACATATTGTCAACATTTATTAAACACTGCCAACTTCATAAAACAGAGGTCAACACTGATAGAAACTGGTAGGGCTGAGGGAGTAAAGGATCAAAAGAAAGAACAGCTCTGAATACCTATTGTCTCCTCTCATAGTCTATTACTATGCCTGCCTCTCATAGTCTATTACTACCTGTTCTTTCCTCACTTCACCACAACTTTCTTCTATTCCAATCGCATTGTTAAAGATGACAATTGGTTCCTATCTCGTCACCTCCTCCAGCCACCACTGCTACACTTAAATTGACTCAATCGACTATCTTTCTGTACCTCATCAGTCCCCAGAGGTAAGTTATCCCTGAGCATCCTTTGCTTCCCCTACTCCAAATGCCCTAAGGAGACCTGTCCTTGTCCTTGCTACCTTTTGCTCTTCTGTTTTTATCTCCCCATTCACATGTTGTTACATCTGTCTTGCCTTCCATCTCTCAAAATGTCATCAGTACCACTCACATCAGAGCTATACCTTTCACCAAGCCCCAGAACTCAAACCACGCTCAGAAATAAGGAAAACCCTGTAGTCACCTTCTGGGCAGGTGAGTAGAGGAAAAACTATTTCTTTTTCTTTTTGGTGAAACCAGGGTTTGAACTCAGGGCTTTATACTTGCAAAGCAGGCGCTCTGCCACTTGAGCCACACCTCTAGCCCATGAAAAAAATAAATGTTCAAGCTGTATTAGTTGAAAATTGTTCCACTGTCAGAAGTTAGAAACATAAACACATTTAAATCTATCAAATTAAAATGTTTAAGTTACCAAATTATACTACATACATTTTTAAAAGCCAAATACTTCTGCAAGGCTTATAGCAAAAACTTCAATCTTATCTCATATCTCCCCAGCATAACTGCCTATTCTCTAGAGACAACTACTTTCAACTCTACTGTTTCTTTTGATAGCCACACACCATAAAACTCACTCTTTGAAGGGTACAATGCAGGGTTTTCTGTATATATTCAGAGTTGCCACCACCATTGCACTGTTTTTATTTCTCATCTTTTCTTTGATGTTTGTTCAACTTTCTGGAATATTACCCTGTATTTATCATCTAATTCTGTAGAAAATTTTATTTCTGATTTTATATTTTTCTTGTTCTCTGAATGTTCCTTTTTATAGTAGCCTGCATTTGTTTTATAAAAACATTTTTAATCACCTTAAATATATTAATGAAACTATGATTTTTGTTTTGTTTTGTTTTGTTTTGTGAAAGGCTCTTCCTATGAAACCCAAGCTGGCCTCAAACTTGCAATTCTCTTGCTTTAGCATGAACCACAACACCCAGCTATGTCTTTTTGTTGCTAGCAGTAAAGGGTTTGAACTCAGGGCCTCATGCTTGCTGAGCAAGTTCTCTACTACTTGAGCCATGCCCCTAGTCCTTTTTCATTTTTTCACAGAGTCTTGCATTTTTGCTCAAGCCAGCCTTGGACCACACTTCTGCATAGCTGAGATTCAGATGCACACCACCATACCCCAGCTTATTGGTTGAGATGGAGTCTTGCTAACTGTTTTTGCCCAGGATGGCCTCAAACCTCAGTCCTCCCAATTTCTGCCTCCCACGTAGTTGGGATTATAGACATGAACCACCACACCTGGATGAAAACCAGATTTATTTTCCTTTCATTGTCTGTATCCCAAGTTACTCTTATTTTAGTTTTTTTCTTAAAATGCATGATAAACATTAAAATGCATGATAAACATTCTTAAACATTTAAGAATTAGGCAGTAAAATGGCATCATGAGTGATGCTTAGGAAGATGTAGGCTTTTACCGAAGGGGGTTTCAATAGTGACCTGTCATTATGGCAGAATTTAAGTCTTCTCCTGGAAAAGGTTTCCAAAAGATGAATACTCTAATCTCCTACCTGGGGTATATTTTCCCAAGTGGCATAAGGGGTTTAGGGGACTCACCACTAAGTATACAGACTTTCACTAATCCAGTCCCCTGCCACTAATGGTTATCAGTATAGCACATGAGCCCAGTCCCTTGCTTCAGTGTCTCTGGGATTACCAGGATAGGCAGAAGGATAGTTGCCTTACCACAAGCATGCATACTTTTAAAGCTTTCTGAAAATTCTATTTTCAACACTATCCATATCCATTCACTCAGGAATGTGATGACTGTAATTCCTGAAGCCTGAGTCAGTTTGTTTCTGGTTTTGTCCCTCCCCTAAAAACTTAGCTTTCAGCTTTTTTTTTTTTTAAGATCACTAAGTCAATTACCATTCTTTCATCTACTTTCCAGGCTCCAAACCTTTTTGATTATCTCTTGCCAGTTGAGGTCTCTTCTTTGCCTTGGGTTTCACACCTTTATTATGCCTATATGGATACTTTAGTGGGGTTTCAGAAGGAGAAGTAAAATCATACATTCAATCTTCCACTAAATAGGAAAACTGGAGTTAAATTTTCAACATGTCACAGTGTTACGAGATTCCACTTTGCTTGGGAGTAGTTCCCAAGGTTTAATCTTGGCAGCAGACACTGGCAGCTGCCAGTATTTTCAATGTAGGTGGGCAATAAGGCAAAAGGAACCAGGTATTTCAAATGTAGTTCTTAACCCATCACTTGGATAATTACTTCAGGGTCCCTTCATTATAGTTTCTTTTGCATTTGTTTATCACATTTAGAGAATCTCTAGACAGCTGCTCTTACCTCTGTAGTGGTTTTTCTCAGCCCTTGATATATTCATAGATCTGATATCACCTGCTTTTCAACAATACCTCTATATTTCTGGTATGCTGATACCTTCATTTCTTGTTTTCAAAAATAACCCCAATGGTACCAATACGTAGATGGCTCACAAATTTCACCCCCAACCCTCCATATCCACCTACCAGTCTGACATTGCAAGTCATCTTAAAGACATCATAACTTGCAGCTAATGTGATCATATCATTCTCTATTGAAAGACTTCCTGCTGCTCCAATGTAAACATGAATACCTTTGACATACACTACAAGGCCTCTAGCTGGCTGCCTAACTTTTTCTTGTAATCATGTTCTTCCTGCTCTCTCCACTCCAGTCACACTGGTCTTTAGTTCAATGAATGCATAATGATCAGTGCCATGGTAAGGTGTTTGCACATGCTGTTCCCTCTGCCCATATTTCTCTTTACTTCTCTCTTTGCATAGTCAATTTTTACTCTCCTTCAGATCTCAATTCAATTGCCATTCCCTTATGGAAGCATTCCCACATCTCTCTAAACAGTCAATCGCTCTTTTGCAACACTTATCACAATTACAATTTCACATTTACTGGTGAGTAAATGTGTGTACTAAAGGTGAGACTTGGAGCACAGTCAGAAGGATGCAAGTTGGACTCAGGGAAAGACAATTCTTCCACTGAAATGGGAAGTTGAAGAGAAATACAAATGGATGGTTATGTTTGGAAGAAAGAAAGCTGAGGGAATTCATATCTGACAGTCTTACCTGATACCAGTTCACTACCTGATGAACTACTGTTAACCTGGAAGTCATCAGTCACTGACTCCTAGGTGGAATAAGAATTAAAGATACAGCACAAATTATGACATTGAATATATCACATCACATTGATTTGGTTTTTTGAAAATGAAAAACTAATGTCAACTTTGTATATCAGTTTCATACACACATTAGTCTTTCAGCTTATTTGTAAGGATGTAATCTGCTATTTAAAATTAAATCTAAGAATAAATATTAAAACATCTAGGGAATCAACAACTCCCTACTGTGAGATAAAATAAAAGATAAAGGTAAATATTTTTCTGACCACCTAAGGAGGAATCGCTTTTGTTTTTCCCTCTATACAAAGGCAAATAAATTGGTTGAAAGAAAACTGAGAGATAAGTCTAAAATATTAAAACTGAAATTAAAGACATAATAAAACATGGAAATATTTGTTACATGTGTATGTAAAACTATCTTCAATATATAATGAATAGACATTTCACAAAGAGAAAGAAAGATGGCCAATAACAAGAAAAAGCACCAATTTGCTAACATTCAAAGAAATGCAAACTAAAGCATGATATTTTTGCTCTATCATGGGTGTGTGTGTGTAAAATCTTGAGAAAGATGGTACCAATTTTCCAACATGAATCACAAAACTTCAAACACAATCTATCCTTTGACCCACTGCAAAGTGTTTTCTTAGGGTAACAATCTGAAATACACACACACAAAAAAAACTTCTGTAGCAGGGTGTCTGTTAATATCTACAACAGCAAAACCCTGGAAAACAATGTCGGTCTCCCAACCTTAGGAAAATTGTGACACAAATTACTGTACATCAATAAGACATATACATATGTGTGTGTGCGTGTATACGTATACATTATATACGCATATATACATATATACTTTTTTTGTAGTACTGGGGGTTTAACTCATGGTCTTGAATTTGAGAGGAAGGCATTTTACCACTTGAGCCACTCCACTAGCCCTCTTTGCATTGATCATTTTTGAGATAGGGTTTCACTTTGTGCCTTGACCTGAACCTCCATTCTCCTATATGTACTTCCTGGCAGAGCTGGGATAACAGTTGCACTCCATCATGCCCAGCCACTGGTTGAGATGGGGTCTTGCAAACTTTTTGCCTGGGCTGGCCTCAAACCATGATCCTCTTTGTCTTGACCTCCCAAGTAGGGTTACGAGGGTGAGCCACCCTGCTAGGCTTTAAAATGTTATAAATATTTTTGAAGACTACTTAATATTAGTGGACTAGACAATAACAATTTGTAAAATGCTTTAAAAATATAGGGTTTTTTTCCAAGATGGAAGACTGCTGACAGGCACCACTTTCCTGGGTCTCCATGAACCAGAAATAAAACCTCAGGTATGTGGCTACAAGGAGACATGGGCAATTCAGTGAGCTACAGGAGGACACCAGTGTAAGGACAGAATAGCTAGAGAAAATTAATACTGAACTCTAACCCTCTAAAACTGCAAAACCACTGGTGAATCTGTTCCATTCTGCAGCCTTCCCAGCCTTTTTTTTTTTTCCTAACACTATTCTGTTTTGATCTGCTTCTTGTAAGAGTCATGTGACTGGGCCATCCTGTGAACAGAACAACTGCACAAAGGGCTAAGACCAGGTTGGCAAGTCATGTCCAGGCTACCAGAGAGAAAATGACAAGCATCTGTGCCTCACCACCCAGGAAAAAGTATGGAAACAAGCCACAGGAGTAAACTTATTTTGGTCCTAAGGGCCACTGCACAGGTCACCTCAACCCACGGATACAAATACATCTGATACCCAAGAAAACTTTTGGCTATGTGGCTAATTAAAGGCCCCACACATGGCCCTGGACCAGCAGTCTGTGTACTGGGGATGGTGAAGCCACTTTTCTCCAGGGGCTTTACTCAAAGGAAGCAGCCTGGATGACGAGAGCTCAGCATCCAGGTCTCTATCCCAAGACAAGGAGGGGTGTGAAAGTGAACTAGCCAGCTAGATAGAGCCCTTAACCAACCAGCCAGTCCAGTAGTATATGCATATACACAAGTGAAAGGAGCTATTTGCCCCTCACTCTCCAAATGAAACATTAAACTGGAGGCCTAATGGAAAAGGGGGAAAAAGCTCACCATGGACAAGTCAGAGCATCCACTGAACTACCTGAGCAGGGAAAAGTGTGGACTTTGAGAGTAGAGGAGCACTTTCAGATCCACTAGTTGTATTCAGGGACCCTGCCCCCCTCCACCAACCATTTCCTCACATGCCTGGAAGCGTCCACCAAACCCTTGCAAAGGAGCTCAACCCCTGGGAATTTCTACTACTTCACAGGACTTGCTCTACATCCATCACCCTAGCCACTGCCCCTCACCTAGATCCTTCCCCCTAGGCTGCACTTGGTCAATCCAAATAAACACAACAGAGCTGCAAACAGAAAGCTGAGGTCCAGAGAACGGAGGAAAGCATCCATTGTATGATAGAGCCCAGCAGACAATATACTCGTCTCAATAAAGAAGAAATACTGACTTTAAACATTTTTGTTCATCTGTTTAATATGCTGTCATCTTTTATCCTTTTCTTTTCACTTTTCCTATCTCTTCTTTTACAAACTATTCTACCTCCTCTTTTCATTATTATTAATTTTTCTATCATTTTGCAATCCCTGAAGATAATACCTTTCTTCACAATAACTGAACTGACTGGAGGTGTGCTTCAAGCAGTAGAATGCCTGCCTTTCAAGTACAAAGTCCTAAGTACAAACCCCAGTCCCACCAAAACAAAAAAAATTCAGATAACAAAAATTGAACTGTATTCCTACACACAAATATTTTACCGGACAACCTCACACTTCACTCCCCTCTCCCCATCTTCCTTTCTCATTTCCTCCCTCATCTCATTTTTGCTACCTAATTTTTAACTCCTACACAAATAAGTTTTATTTTTCTAACCCCCTACTGCACCAAATAAGAATATGAGTCCCCTTCATATACACATAACTGATTGTAGAAAATGTTGCTAATGGTATTTTACTGCATGTAAATACCTGGTTTGGTACTGAATTGGTGAATTTGTTCTTGGTGAGTTACACTGGCCTAGTGGCCAGTGGTGAGAAATGGCACATCAACCCTGCCACTACCCAGTCCTGGCAGAAAATAAAGAATAATTCAAGGGAAAGACGTTAAGGTGACTAAAACCCCAGCCAACGAATTGATGACAGATGAGCAAATCTCAAAGTAGAAGCACCAAAATATGAAAAAGCAAGGCAATATGATACCTCAAAAGGTCAACAATCACATAACAAAGGATCTGAATGATAGTGAAAGGCATGAAATCTCAAATTTTGAGCTCAAAAGAATTATTGTAAGAATAATTAATAAGATGAAAAATATGCATAGACACCTCAACTGAATCAAAGAGAATACAAATAACTAAATGAATTTGAAGTGGAGACAAATAGCTAAAGAAACTCAAGAAGGATGCAAATACACAGTGAAAGACATGATAGAGGAATTCAATAAAGTTATTGAAAGTCTGAAATAGAATCATATTGAAGCTCTGGAAATGAAAAGTTCCATAAGTCAAAGAAAAACAATTCAGTTGAAAGCCTCTCCAACAGACTGAATTTAATGGAAGACAGTATATCAGAGCTTGAAGAAAAAGTAGATGCAACAGAAAATCATGGGCTGTCAGAGTAGCTCAAGTGGAAAAAGTGTCTGCTTAGCAAGCGTGAGGCCCTAAATCCAAACCCCAGTGCCACAAAAAAAAAAAAAAAGAAAATGAAGATGAAGAAAAAAAATGAAGATATAAAAAAATAATATGCCAGAACTCTGCACCTCCAATAAAAGATGAAACCATGGGCATTGAAGGAGAAGAGATGCAAGTTGGAGACATAGGACATATTAAACAAAGTAAAAGCAGAAAACTTCCCAAATCTTAAGAAAGAAATGCCTATACAAATATAGGAGGTCTTTAAGACTCCAGACTAAACCAAAATAGGACCACTCTGTGGAATATTAGTTAAAACATTAAATACAGACAACAAGGAAAGAATATTGAAAGCTGCAAAGGAGAAGTGCCAAGTCAACTACAAAGGTAAATCCATCAGAGTAACAGCAGGTTTCTCAACAGAAACCAAAAAGCAAGGAGGGAATGGAATGGTGTATTTTAAGGACTGCAAGAAAATAACTGCCAAAGTAGATTACTCTACCCAAGAAAACTATCATTCATAATTGAAGGAGAAATAAAAATCTTCCATGATGAACAAAAACCAAAGCAATTTATGACTACTAAACCAGCACTGCAGAAGACATTCAAAACAAACTTATACACAGAAGAGGTATAAGGTATAAATGTAGGCATGAAAATAGGGGGAAAAAATCTCACAGATGAGTAGATAAGCAAATGAAGAGTAGGAAAGAACCAAACACTAGGCAACAAAATGGCAGGGATTAGTATATACCTTTCAATATTAAGACTGAATGGTAATGGTCTCAATCGCTAATCAAAAGACATAGAATAACGAGTTGGACTAAAAATCAAGATCTGACCATTTGTTGCCTACAAGAAATTCGAATCACTGTCAAAAACACTGGCTTGGGGTTAAAGGGTAGAAAAAGATTTTCTAAGGAAATGGACCCTGAAAGCAGGCAGGAGTAGCTAGACTCATACCTGAGAAAGAAAAGATTTCAAACCAAAATTAGAAGAGAAAAAGAAGGTCATTTCATATTAATAAAGGTAACAATTCATCAAGAGGCAAGAACAATTGTGGGTATATATGTGCTAACAGCCAATGAGCCCAACTTCATTAACAAACACTACCGGACTTATTAAAAGCACAGACAGACCCCAACACAGTACAATAGTAGTGCTATACTTCTATACCCCACTTTCACCAACAGATAGGGTAAGCAGACCAAAAACTCAACAAAGAAACCTCAGAATTAAATGACACTACAGACCAAATGGACTTAACAAGAGTATTTCATTCAGCAGCAGCAAAATATACATTCTTCTCAGCAGCTAATGGAACTTTCTCCAAAATCGAGATATTTTATGACATAAAGCAAATCTTAGCAAATATAATGAAATTGAAATAACTCTCTGTATTCTATCAGACTATAATGGAATAAAACTAGAACTAAACAGCAAAAGAAACTAAGAAAATATTCAAACACATGAAGACTGACAATAAATTATTGAAGTTTCCTCAAAAAAACTAAAAATAGACCTACTTTATGACCCTGTCATACTACTCTTGGGCATATAGCCAAAGGAATGTAAATCAATATACAAGACAGATGCCTGCATACCCATGTTTATTGCAGCTCTGGTCATACCAGCAAAACTGTGGAATTAGACAAGGCTGATATTACTCAGCCATACAAAAGTGAAATTATGTCACTGGATGGAACTAAAGTTCATGTTGAATGACAGAAGCCAAGCTCGAAAAGTAAAGTATCACGTGTTCGTGCTCATTTGTGGAACCGAGCCCTAAAATGATGATGATGACAACTATGATGATGATGGGACATCAGTGTCAAACAGGGATGGTCCAGAGGGAAGGAGATGTTACAGAAAGAACACTGAGGGGCGAAGAGGTTCAAAGTACACTACATATATATATAACATAGTGTACCTTCTTTATGAAACCCACCAAATACTATTTGAGGAGGGAAAGGAGGGGATAATGGAAATACAATGGAGGAAGAGAACTTGTTCAAAGTACATTGTACTCATGTATGGGATTATCACAATATAATATAATTCAAAAATATAATTATTAAAACATGATAAAAGGAGCAGAAAGAAATATGCAAAAATTTAAAGAAAGTTTTAACATTTTTTTATAGTTAAAAACATCTACAAAAAACATTTTACTATATAATCTTAAAACATGATGAAAAAGTCTCTTTAAAAATGCTTATGCTGAGCATGGTGAAGTGGCTCAAGTGGTAGAGCGCCTGCCTTGCAAGTGTGAGGCCCTGAGTTCAAACTGCAGTACTGCCAAAAAAAAAAAATGCTTATGTTGAAACTGCTGCCCCCTAAAAACATGTAATGGAGATACATGTAAACTAAAAATCTGAAAGTTAACTGTAAGTTTAATGCCGATGTCTGATGAGTCACAATTTTTTAATGCAAGTTTCCCCAAGTTGCTGATGAACAGTAAAATACTGTACAGAATCTATATTATATACAGTACATGAAGAAGTAATATATTCTAGCTATGTGTGGTGATGTAGACCTGTAATCCCAGCACTTGCGAGGCTGAGGCATGAGGGTCTGGAATTCAAGGCCAGCCTGGGCTACATAGTGAGACCCTGCCTCAAAGAAAAAGTTACATATTCTATTTTTTTTTCCTTTTTCTTTTATTATTCATATGTGCATACAAGGCTTGGTTCATTTCTCCCCCTGCCCCCACTCCCTCCCTTACCACCCTCTCCGCCCCCCAATACCCAACAGAAACTATTTTGCCCTTATTTCTAATTTTGTTGTAGAGAGAGTATAAGCAATAACAGGAAGGGACAAGGGTTTTTGCTGGTTGAGATAAGGATAGCTATACAGGGCATTGACTCAATAAATGAATATTAGAATCCTCTACAATATACGAACCCTTAGGAATGAATAGTCTTTCTAGTTGTTAATGGAAAGACAAACAGAAGACGTAAAAATGAATTTAAAATGTTAAAATGCTACCAAAACATAAAGGAGATAGTAAGGTGTGAATCTTATCACACATAAAAATCAGCCAGTAACACATTTCTCCCATACTTATTATAGGAAAGAAAAAGGATCTAAGTGTATGGCTATGAACCTGGCTGAGTCAGAAATTCAAGGGTCTAATGACACATCAGTGTTTATGAAAGTATCAGAAAGCTATGAGATTTCTACCGATCAAGACTATTTTATTGTTTCATTGGGAGGCACATCAGCTACTTACTGCACATGTCAACATTAAGTGTACCCCCACACACAGCCCCACTGTAGGAGAAGCACACATACACTGCCTGGAGGGCCCTTCTCATCCTGGGTCTCCTCGCTGGTGGTGCTGCGCTCCCGCACGCTTTCCTCTCCTACCTGATCGCTGGGAAAGGAACACACACAGTTAGTTTGCACCACCTGGATTGACTCTGCACGTCTCTGACAGGCTCTGCAGGAGCATTTTAGGGAGAAGTAAGGCCCAGATCATTTGCACCACTACCCAAATGAAGCTACAAATGCTTTCCTAGAGGTTTTATCTTACTTTCAGGTAACTCAGCAAGCTTTCCATTACAAAAAAATTATCGAAACCCAGTTTTCTGGATCTATGTTCTACAAAGAGTGAAATCATTTTCAATACATTTTCTTCCTGGGCTCTTAAAGTGAGAGGTTAGCTGCACAAGAAACCAGCTCTGCTACTCCAGGCTACGCACCTCGCCAGCCCAGAGCCGCTCTGCTCAACCTTCTCCCCAATCCTCGGCAAACCTTGCTCCTTGCCTGGTCTCTTCCGGCCTGCGACAGGATGATAGGGTTCAGGATGACAGCCTGCCAGAGCCTGGCCTCGAGATTCTTGGGGGACCCCCGCCACCCCTCGGCTCTGCAGGACTTACCGCCGAGAGCCGAAGAGGCCTCCGTCTTCGTCGGGAGCCTGAGGTCCGGAGTCGGAGTGAGGTTCAGCCTCTGGCCTGCCCGCTTCTTGCGGGTGTAGACCCGCAGCGGCCACATTGCCACCCCAACCCCCAGCCTCGGGGGCCTTTGAGCCCTTAACCGCCTGTGTCGTCGCCTCCCTGAGGAACCAGCTACAATCAGAAACCGCCGAGGACCGGCCTGAGAAACAGCGCTAGGACTGGAGCGGCCGCCCCGCTCCCGCCTTTTTATCTCCGCGAGGCCGCGCGGGGGCTTCTGGGAAGACCATGGGGAGGGCGGGGGGCGGGGGCAGGCCCCGCCCTCCCGGAGGCCGGCGGCTCTCCTCAGTTCCGGGGCGCCCAAGCCCTTTGGTTAAACCCTTTTCTTTTCCTCCTTAGTCCAATATGCTCAACACCTGCTACCCGTGCCTCTGCTGCTCTCCTACCAGCACTGCACGACGCCTTAGTAATGGCGTTTTAGGTCTCTGAGCACCCGGAGTCGAGCTAGGGGTCGCCTCACTCAGTGCAGGAAGGTCAAGGAGGAGACAGGGCACCTAGGTGAGGAGTCAACTTGGACCCCTGGGGGCACGGACTACCTGGGAGGGTTGGGTACTTCAGAATCCGACCGAGACCCTGAGCACCAGAGGCTTCTTCTCAACGTCAAGCAGGGTCCCTTAGCCTGGGAGCCACCCCCTGAACCCCTGGAAGTCCTTAGGATTAAGGCAGAGGATTCCTCGGGCTCCCCTCCTCTTGGGGCTCAGCGCTTCTTCTCTGGCAATTGGAGGGACAGCAATGGCCCTTCTTTCCCTTCCGTTCACCCAGGTTGAACCATCTGGCTGCATCTGGTAAGTGTATTGAGCACATAACATTAACCATCTTATTCTAAAAAAAAAAAAAAAAAAGACAATATTTCACAATATTCACAAATGCAGTCTATACAGATGAAATTATTAAAAGCTTGAAGACTCTTCTGGAGACCCCAACATTACGTGTGTTAATGTAAGCACATATATATCCATAGTATTTTTCATAATAAAATCATACGGAATTTTTAAATTTAAAGCCTGCTCATAGAAACATTTATGACAGTCAGTTTAATATATAATTAATCATCAAAATATAACCTCGTAAAGTAAAAAGTGTAGGTATTCTTACTTGGTTAGATACATTAGTGCTTTTGTCACAAACAGGCTGGCTGGGGGTCCTCTGCTAAACCCAGATAGGCATTGTAGGAAGGCAAAATTCAGTTACTCCAGGTCCTCCCTGGGTGTTTGCAAGGAACTGCAGTGAATGACAGGGATCAGCAGCAGGTGGTGCCCTCTCCTGTCACAGCTCCTGCACATCTTGGCTGAGGTCTTTGACAATTATGGCAGTTGCACAGGCTATGGGCCTGGTGTCCTGCCCAAGGCCCAAAGTATTACAGAACTTTAGTTCCCAGGCTGGCACAGTGGTGGAAGATATCTCTCTACCTACCTGGATGGGACCATGTCAGTTTTGCTTTCACTCTTCCCCACTGCTTGCCATTATTGGGCTCTTGCTTTACTTCAGGTGACTTTAGCCTTTCCTTTTCACCCCCCTGCAGAGGGAAGCCCTGCTCCTGCTGCTGTGGGCAGCCCCTGATGTTCCCAGCCACACAGAGGTCCTGCCTCTGATGTTCCTGAAAAGGAAGCCTCTCTCTCCTCTCTCTCTCTCTCTCTCTCCCTCTCTCTCTCTCTCTCTCTCTCTCTATCTCTCTCTCTGTGGTACTGGGGTTTGAACTCAGAGCTTTCTGCTTGCAAGGCAGACATGTCACCACTCGAGCCTCTCCTCCAGCCCTCTTTTTTTTTCCTTCATGTTATCAGCTCAACCACCCTCCTAAAAAGGAGAATCAACAGTAGGCTCACTAGAAGTCTTTATTGGTTGCTGTTGCAGAGGAGGGTATTTCCTGACTACTCACAGTGAGCTGAGCAGCCTGCTTATATAGCCAGAAGGGGTTGTGACAAGGTTGTCTGCACTAATCACCACAAGCCCTTCGTGCAAATGAAGGGTTGTATTTGCACCGATCATGGCAGAGTCCTTGTCAGTAGTAATGACAGTCCCTCATGCTAATGAAGGACTGCATTTGCACCAATCACAGGACTGCAGGGCCACCAGGGAAAGGAAATGCTTCCCCTCTTACCTGGGTGGAAGTGACTGCTATAGTGGCAAAAGCTTCTTGCCAGGGCCAGCTCCTGTCTTCGGGAGCCAGAGTCGGTGCTTTGGGTTCAAAGTGGCCCACACTGGCAGGAGGACCAAACCACAAACCTGTAAGTATTTCAGACACCAAGACAAAGACCACTACTGCAGTATAACCAATAGCTCAAAATGATGTTTCTGAAACCCAAACAAGGCTACAAAAGACCTCAGATCACTGCCAGTCTGACCACCGATCCACAGTCCCAACATTGGATTTACAGAACCAAAGTTTGTCAAATTTCAGAAAGTATCACAAAGGCCACTACTGTGGTATGATTAGCAACTCACAAAGTAAAGTTCCAGAGATGGGAGTAAAACCCAACAGCCATTTCAGAAACCAGTATGAAGCCCACTGCTGTGCCTTAGCCAACAATCCTAAATGGAGTTTCTGAGGTATCTAACCTGGACCAATGTTTCTGGACCAAAGCCTTCAAAGACTTTGTAGAACTGGTACAACCAGTCTGCAGTCCAAGCAGGTGATCAAGCCAGGGCTATTACAAGTTACAAATTGTGAGCACAATCAAAGAGCACTTCTCCAAAATAAAGGACAAGTGTGTGGGGGTTCATATGTTTTGAGTGGAGAGGGGGTACAAGGAAGCAGCTGAGGCAGGCTCTTACCAGTTGAGACTGACACTGAAGTGAAGGCTCAGGCAGCCACTTATGATCCATGAAGAAGGTCTACACCAATAGTCACCGCTGTCTGTCCTCTTCTCTGTACCCAAGAGAAGCTCCTCCAGTTATTGTGGGCCCTCTGTGGGTGTTTGCAAGCAGTGGCAGTGGATGAGCGTAGGCAGTGGCAGGATCACAGCACCCATGCCTCAGGGGTTGCTGCTGTGACAGCTAGAGCGGCAGTTTGGGGCTCTGGGACTAGGGGGGAGGGTGGCTCAAGACCTTTGACATCTAGGGTGATGGCACAGGGTACTAGGGCTTGGGTATCAAGTCCAAGGCTTGAAATGTTACAGCTTTTTTGAACTTGGGCCACACTGGAGGCAAGAGGTATCTCGCCACCATGGACCTGAATGACCAATGTCAGATTTTAATTTCCTCTTTCATCTGTTCTGCAGTTCTTGTCAGTTTCCCTGCAGGGCAACTTTAGCTGCCCCACCACTGCTTTGGCCTCCCTGCCATGGCCTGGATCAGCTGCTGAAGCAAACTGTGCTCCTGTGGCTATGGGCAGCCTGATGTGTCCTGCAGACATGGGAGACCCTGCTTCACTTCTGCTCTTGTTGGGATGGCTCTGGTTGCCCATTACTGCCACCACCTCTATTGCCATGGCTACTGGCAGCTCCCACTCCCACAGGAACTTAGTGATGGCCCCAGGGATGCTCTCTTTGCCTCCACCACTTCTTTTCTTTTCAGCTCAGCCACTCTATTAATGATGAAAATTAAAAATAGGCAAGACAGATCACTCAAGAGAAGTCATTATTGGTCTTGCTGTTGCAACATCAGGGGGCAGCACAGGAGGTGTCTCCTGGCTACTCACAAAGTGAACTTGAGCATCCTGGTTATATAGCCAGAAGTGGTTGTAACGAGGGTGTCTGCGCTAATTGTAGCAGTCCCTCCATACAAATGAAGGACTATATTAACACTGGTCCAGGTCTTCTGCTGAGGCACCAGGGGAAGGAAGTATTCCCCCTCTGGCCTGGGTGGAAGTGCTCTCTATGGTAGCAAAAATCCAGTACAAGCTGCTGGCTGGGGCAGTGTCTTCAGGAGCTGGAGTCTTGCCTTGTGTTCAAAGTGGCCAGTGCTGGCACAAGTGCAGTCTGGCTGCCTTACCGGCAGTCCTTTGCTCAAAGCACTTGGCATCCCAGGAGAGGGTCTGTCAGTGAGGGAGTTAAATCTCCCCAGCCCCCAACATCTCCACACATCAAGAAGGTGTTTATAGCCAACACTTTGGTAATAGTGCTTTACCAGTATTAACAGTGTCCTAACAAGGCTTAATTCCAGCCCCAGTGCCCCAGGTAGAGGCACTGCTTCACAAGAGCATCTACTTCCCTTTGAGTCACTGCATCAGTGTTTACTGAGCACCTTTCTCTGTGTTGAGCATGATGGTAGGTACTGGGTGGGGATACAGGGATAAATCAGAAATGGCCCTTCACTAAAGGTTCTCAGTTTTCCTGCAGGATAAAGCAATGACCAAATTCCAGCATCCTTTCTTTGGTCACACCCATAATATGCTGACAGTTAGTCTCTAGTTTATAAACCAAGTTTCCTGACTCTCCCCCCCACCAACACCCCACACATACTTGTCCCTTTGAGGGCTTTTGTGAAAGAACATGCAGTTCTTACATAAACTTTGGGATGTCTTGAAGGAATGTGCTCAATATAAAGGCTACATATGATAAATGCCAGAGAATAGGCATTCACCCTCCAGAGCAGCCCCAGCCAGCTCACTCCACTGGAGAACTTGGAACAGTATTTTCTCTTGCTGTCTCCATGACCATGTCATGAGATGCTGGCTCAGCACTGCCCCAGGCCGTCTCTGGAGATTTTCCCATAGGATCCCAAAGGTGACTCAGGGCAACCCAGGGCAGATGAAGGAGGCCAGCCCAACATTTAGATCCCCCCAGGGAGCTCCAGACCCTTACCCTTGTGTGTGTGTGTGTGTGTGTGCTTCCAGGAAAATACTTTCCAGCCTGTTTTCACTTCCTGTATGGCAACAAGTCTTTTTTAGTTTGCTACTGTGACCATGTTTGAACTGTCTCTCACTTTTCCCACACCAGGGTGCAAATGAGTTGGTTCTGACCCTGGCTGACCCCTGCAGAGCAGGGACCCTCAAAGCAGGCACAGTGGAGGAGCTGGTGGACCACTTGGTGCCTGCTGTGCTGTTTGGGGACCCAACCTACATTCCTGTCTTCTTTTGCACTGACCGACTTTTTGCCACTC